CTGATTTGTCATTGTCTTCATTTTCACTATTTGATTTTGAATTTACCATCTCTAATATTAATTTCCCACATGAAATTATTTTTAATGTTTCCTTAAAAAAAACAAACAGGAATATATAAAAATAATAATCATTAAACAATAAGAATACTTAGAAAACAAAACAAGAAAGTTACCAGCTGGTTTGCTGATTTGGCGCTTGGAACATAAAAAAATAATAACATTTTATAAAATATCTTTTTATAGAATGCTCGGTTCCTAGAGCGTATTGGCAAAAACCTTCGGACATGGGTTAAATATTTTTTGACCAAGTATCACCAAAAAAAGTTTCATTGAAATCGGTGACCATGTCCTTAAAATTCCCTGGTTAGTTTTTTTAAAATGATCAAGAACCGTAGGTGGAATTTCTACAGGGGGAGGGGAATTTCGGGCTGAAGCTCGCCTCCCACCAAAATGGTAAAATATAACCAAGTTTTACGCAAAAAGTATTATAAAATTATCTCTTAAAGTATTATTGTTTGTGTAATTATATTTAATAGGACTTGAACACCATTTTGTAAAGGTAGTTAGTTTCTTCCTTTTTCTTCAAAAGTAATTATCGTCATATTTGAAAAAAAAAGCTTTCTCGCTGAAGCTCCCAAAACAAAGTCCTGGATCCGATAGTATCAAGGACCATTCGTGTTTTGGGACACGGGGCAAACTGCACAGTACCCGCAACACCTTACGTTTGTGCGGGTTTAAGTTACCGTCAATTTCAAGGAGCAACAGTTTTTTTTTTCAAGCATCTTGAATTTATTAAAGTTTTTTTTTTTCCTCTTTATTTTTTAATTCACAACTGTCAATGTCCACTGACAACCAGTGTATGAGATAACTGCACAAATAGACTAGGAGAAAGGGCATGATAGGCATGAGGAAGAGAAAAACCCAGAGGTTTATCTTCAGTCATGTTGGTGGTTAATTAAGGAGATCTCTCATCCAACTACTTTTCAGCCTTCTGCGGATGTTATCGGGCATGTTTTTATTGGATGAGTCTATTGGGGTGACCATAGAGCTTGTTGTGAAACCTTTTGGGTACTTCTCTCTTAGCGGGTAGAGTCCGACTGCTATCCGCCAATGTTTATAACCTTAACACTGATAAGCTCTTCGTATTCGTATATATTGTATTATATTCATTTTATTATGTGTTCGTATTCATATTGATTGTATTGTATTGATATTATTGAAATTGTGAACAAAAACAGAAAGAAATGTAATAATAAATGCTTTTATTTCACAACGTATATTTAAAAATACTTTTATTTCACAAGGTATATATTAAAGTATACCAAAACATAAATATATTGAAAAACATAAATATATACCACAACATATATATCGTAAAAACATAAATATATACCAAAACATAAATATATAATTAAAAAACATTACGAAAACATTGCAACATATATACAAAAATAAATGAAATAATAAAAATAGGGCAAAAATAGACAAAAAAGGATTAAATAATAAAAAACTACTTTAACAGGATATGTACATATAAAACAAAGATTATGAATAAACGATGGAAACAAAATATGAAAAATTTTATTTTGGTAGGGAAAATAATTTTATCGTATTTAAAATAGCGAGGAAGAGATCCTGATGTTTATGCGCCCGCCGCCACAAAAACTCACATAAATATGATTCCAGGTGTTGTCTGGCAGTTCCTCTGTGTTTTTTATTTCTCCACTTGGCTGAGCCCCATAATCTTTCGATGTGTTGAGTATGGACTCCACTTGATGGATCAACAAAATTATATGTGTGATTGACCTGAAAATGGTCGTAGTTTGCTTCATTCAGTTGTTTTCTTGAAAATATTTGATAGCCTCTTCTTCCGAAGACGGCAATTCCCACAATGTGACAACATCCATAATTCCAGTTGAAACAAAACAACACAATATTAACAAAAGAACACAATATAATACTAAACAACACAATAACTTAAAGAATACTAAAGAACAACTAAACTAAAGAACAAGAAAAACTAAACAACACAATAACTTGAGAAACGAGATTGGGTTGATAAGGGAGGTTATCTGAAACGAGATTAGATAAGAAGGAAGGTTTCGACTCTACCCGCTAAGAGAGAAGTACCACCTTTTGTAATAAGTTTGTATATGTTCTGTGACGGTTTGCATGCGTAAGTCTTTGTGGAGAGTTATGTTACTAACATACCAAGGTGCTTGAGTAATTGTTCTGAAGGTTTTGCCCTGAAATATTTGTAATTTCTGAATGTGAGTTTTTTTGGCAATTCCGTATATCTGTGATGCGTATGTCCAAAGTGGTTTTAGTAAGTAAGTGTAAGTGTCAAGTTTTTATCTTAGATCTAGTTTTGAGCGACGTCCCAGAAGCATTAAAATATAATCCCGGAACTTACTAAATGTGGGTCATTGTACAACCAAATAAATCGTGTTTTGGGTTCTTTCAGCGAAACAATTCCGTCTTCAATGACTAAATACGTTGTTTAGAATACCTTACATGTTTACAGACGTTTTCTTCGACGTCGAAGAACATATCGCCATCGTTATCAGGAAATAATTTAATATCACACTTAACCGCTAGTCGCCATTAATCCATAACAACTCCCGAAAAAATCTGAAATAGACAACTCACACCAGACTATTGTTAGAAAAATAATTTTCTTTTTCTTAACCTGTCACCTGTATGTTAAATCTCTGTTTCTGTGGAAGTCATCTTCAACTTTTCTCTATAATTGTTTCATAGTGCCACCTGGAATCAGTTCTAACTTATACTAGCCTTATTTTAAATAAGAGTTATATCCAATCTATTTCTCCTAAGTCAGAAATCTTGAAGTCATCTTAGAACGATGACTGTCAGCATCGAATATTTCCAAAGAATCTGACGTTTGCATGAATATTCATTTCTACATCATATTATCCATTCCTTTATTCTCCTTGTATCTTCAAGTTACAAAGAAAATCCATCAAAAAGTCTCTAAACAACAATGAATACGTCAATAGTAGACAAGAGATCGCGTGGAAGGCAAAAAAAAAAACCCAGATGGATAGATTCCATCAACAAAGATGTAATGGAGCTGCTTGCAGATAACTGGAAAGGCTGCTGGTTAAGGCAGGAAAAACATTCCAAAGGTCTGTAGTGCAAACAGAAAAAAAAAAAAAAACAGTAGAAAAATACAATTACGTTTTATATGTATTTGAAGGTGAGTTTAGACATTTCACAAACTACAAGAAACACAATTATCTAACTTAACTAGTAGAGAAATTAGCGCTAACCCAAATTTTTAAAAATTTCTTTTGATACCGACAGCAGATAAAAACATCAAAAACACTAGCTTAGCGAAAAAAAATTAAATATTAGTGTTTCCCATAGTTTGTGAAATGTCTAAACGCATCTTTATGTACAGTCCTAAAATATGACCATGTGATCTAAATGAAATAAATGAGACCATATGATGTAAATAAATTTAATTTAAGTGGCTTTGGAATAAACTAGAAGAGAAATAAAAAAATAGGGAGGGGAAGAAATATGAGATTAGAAGTGGTACTTAATTTGAGAGTTGTGTCAAATATATAAAGCAATGTTATAAGATTCAACTTCATTAAGCTTTGTATTTTTTTAAAAAATATTTTAACGTCTCTAATATACATATCGCTATCCACTACCTCCACTACATATGTAATCCACATGATGTTTCATATTTTATTAATTTTGAGAAAGTTCCTAAACTCAGCGAAAATTCTATCAATGAATTTCGTCAACAACTTTAATCAAGCTGCGATACACAGCTATGTTGAGTTTAAGAACGGCCTAAAAGGTTAAAAAACACGAGAAAAAATATGTAACGAAATAAGTATTTGTTGAGTTTTAAAACAAAAATAAATATAGACAGATAGTAAACTGAATATAAATATGAAAATTAAATTTAAAATAACATCACTAAAGAGGTTGCATCCAACGGATCCATCGACTCTGAAAACCGATGGAATTGAATATTATTTTATTGATTCCTCAGTTTAAAATCAATAACTAAAAATGTATTTTTAATAGAATGGTCATGAACTGAGTTAAACAGAGTTAAAAACGAAATACGCATTAAGAAATGGTTTAGTTTCTGTTATTACAGATTATGTTCTATATTAATAAACAAGAAATTAAAGCATTTTGTGATTATTTTATTTTGGTTCTTGCAAATAAGCTACATCAGACAAATAATTAAAATTTAATGGTTAGAGATAAAGCTAGTATATTAGCAATGTGGTCTTAGAAAAATGGTTTGAATCCTAACAGAGAATTCAATTGTTGTGTGATTAACATATGTTAATAGGTTTGCACCGATTCATCGACGAATACGACAAATTCGTAATCTAACAGAGAAAAAACACCAACAAAAATATCGAATCTTGATAGACTTTACAATATCTCAATTTTCTATCTAACTACTCCATTCTCAATGTTTTAATTTTACTATTTATTTTCATTTCTTATATAACTTTATATTTCTTTTTTATGTTTTACATTTTATTCTAAGATTCCCATTGTAACACTTTTGTCACCCCTTTTTGATTATGCCTACTTCATCATTCCACACTTTGTGACGGTTTTTATTATTTATATCTTAGTGCTTAGTCATTATTCTAACAATTTCATTTTACTTTATATTTATCTATTTTATTTTTCTAATAATTTTTTTTTATTATTATTTTTTTTATTATCTTTTTTACCATCATTACTTATGTTTCTCATACCTTGTTATCTGGTTATTTTCTTAGCCCTGATGAAGTCCTGAACTTCAGGTCGAAACGTCGGCATATGTAAAAAATAAATATTATCATTTATTTTTGCCTTCCTTTTTGACTGAACACCCCAACTATTCTTCTCTTCATTATCCACGACAGTCAACCAATTACCAATTAACAAAAATATCATTCATATATATATATATATATATATATATATACACACATACATCTATAATGTGATATCATTAATAGGTTATGTTTTCAACTCAACAAATTAATCATAAATTTGAGAACATATGATTCTTGTACATATGTGAAATATTTCGTTTAGACTAATTTTGATTTTTTAAGGTTAGGCAAAATCTTCTCAGGATTTCTCATGATATTCAGACTCCTGTTATTGTTTTACGTATTTCCAATATTTCTGCAAGAATGTATAATAGTGGGTAAGTGTCTCCGATTTTTAGCAGCCATATTTTGAATATATATAAAATATCTATGATTTTATTTTTTTAATTTTTTCTTTCTTAGTAAGGCATAGTTATAGTAGAAAAACTAAAAGATGAAGTAACGTTGTTGCGGCCATCATAGGTCAGTTAATTTTATTTTATTGTTTTTTTGTGACCATATCATCACATGGGGAGTCAATTTTATTTTGTTTTTGAATAACATAGATTATTTATTTTATTAATTTTTTGGTTCCATATCATTATATGGTGAACCAGTTTATTTTCATGTAATTACGCCTAATTAAATATTTCAAACATATTTAGTTGTGTTTATTTGATAGAATATTTATTCATTGAAAACACTGGATTTTCCTAATGCCCAAGTTCGTGTCCAGCCGTGAGCAGAAAATATATTTTTTGTTACAGATATCAACAATGGACCGAGTGTGATTTTAAATATTATTTTAGGTTACATCTCTACAATATCGAATTTTGCCAATGTATTGACCGTATAAAGACTACTTTGGTGTCAATTATATTGACGTCAATCAAACGGATTGATAATTTTTTTTTATTTATATAGCAGCTCCTTCAATATTATTGAAACAGCGTCAATACAATTGCACGTGTAAGGGCAAAAAAAGTATTTCTTAAATATGAAACTAGAAAAGAACTGAATTCTGGAAAGAAAATTTGAAACAAGAAACGTTCTAGTGTCTATATAAAAATTAAAATTTAATGATAAAAATATTTAAATTAAATATAGTGTGAATAAAATATAAAGCTATTATATTTACCATTCCACTATTTGTTCATAACAATGTAATTGGAAACAAACTATTCATACATAATTAATTAGTAGTTTTATGGAAATTATTATTAATGTTTGACTAATAAAAAATGTAGTTTATTATAACAATAAAATAAAAATATATTTTTATTATATGGCCATATTTTTTAATGCTATAGTCAAAATTAATTAGAATATAATAAATTAACTATTATTCATAGTCAGAAAAATGAAAGATGTCTTCTAAGGAGATAGCGACATCTTAATTGTCATATTGACAGGTGTGAGGGGGGCCTTCAATATACTTCTTTCAATTATATAGCTTCAATAATATTGAATCAATAGTATTGACCGTGTAAGGAACCCTTAAAGTAAATAGCTGGTCTTTAAATGGTTTGGCAAATAGATTAATGGTTGAGTTTGTATGCTGGTTAGATCATCTGTTTAGACCATTCGCCTAGAAACAGTACCCTATTTTTTTCTTTAATTTCAGAATACATTATTTCGCAGATTGGTATATTTAATTGAAGTATATAAATACTATACCAACATTCACTTTCCAATATAGTTTTCAAAATAAAATATACAGTTTATACAGCTGACATCCCAACCCATCCTGACACTGTAATCACCACTTAGCCGATGACACATGTTTGCTATCTGTTAATAATGACCCTTTAATTGCATCCCAAACTCTTCAATCACATATCACAAGCCTTGAAGAATGGTGTAAAAATTGGAAAGTAAAAATAAACTCCAACAAATCCCATCAAATCACCTTTACCCTCCGTCGTAAACCTATGACTTCTTGTCCTACAGTATCCTTCAATAATACTCCACTTATTCCTGTTGAGCAAATCCGCTACTTAGGACTCCACTTGGATAAACGTCTTACTTGGAATCCTCATACTAGACTGAAACGACAAGAAACTGCTCGACGTTTCCGACTGCTCCAACACTTACTAGACAAACGCTCCAAACTTTCAATTAATTACAAAAGACTTATCTACATAACTATAATAAGACCTATATGTACATACGGAGTTGAGCTTTGGGGCTCCACCAAACCATCGAATTCCTATCGTATCCAATCCTTACAATCCGAAATCCTCCGTAAAATCCTTAATGCTCCATACTTTGTTACAAATAAAACCATTCATAAAGACCTTAATGTACCATATGTCGCTGATTTAGCTCGAGCCAGATATCTATCCTTTCATGATAAACTTCAGTCCCATCCAAATCCGCTTGTTTCCACTCTTGCTTCTTCTTCGATCCCTGATAATCCTCCTAGGCGTCTGAAAAGGAGATGGCCTCGTGATCTTCTTACTTAAAATTATTTAGAGAGTGCTACCACTGGGTAGTATCTCTTCAAGCCTGTACATGCCATTATTTATAATTCGTGCATATTTACTAGTTGTATTTGTATACAGTTGTAAATTTCATTAAATAAACAAACAAAAAAAAAAATTGAAAGATCTAGACGAATAAAAGTATCTATCGTAAAGTATCGTGTTTTGCAGCCGTAAACGTCATGCTACACTGGACTCCGATACGTAATTTTTTTAAATTTATGTTTTAGCTAAATATGAACGTATTTCGATTATTTAAAAAAAAAGCAAACCCAATTTTGACTACGTTTTTTGTTACTTGAATTATATTGTAACTAAAATTTACGCGATTTTTTCACCATTTAAGTACACAGTCAGCCAATCGACTCGTTCACGATGCTATGAGAATTGAACCTTTTATAATATTACTAGATATATAAGAAATTTTATTTCATATTATACTTAGAACTGTTATTATCATTACATTGGCCTGTTTCAGATAAACCTTTCGAATGTGACGACATGATTCAAATACTTGAGTACCATAATGATTTGAGGAGCAAAGTGGCACAGGGGCGGACTAAACTGTTTGAAGCAAAGGACATGTGGGCACTTGTGAGTTCGTATCCTTACCTCTATTTACTTCTAATAAGGTAAAGTTAAGACTATTGTTCGATCTTAGAATCCGAAAAAAAATAGGCATTTTATTATATGTTCTTAGAACCCGAATAAGAATAATACACAGTAAAGTATTATATTAATGTATTTACTGCAGAGTTAAAAATAATTCATATAGTAGATACTAAGAGGCCCTAGTGGTCTATTGAGCTAAGGCTCGAGTCAGAAGGGCACTTATTCGAATCTGACCTAAGTAAATAGTAATTTATTTATTTAATACAAAACAAACATTCAAAAGTGTGTGTGGATAAAATCTGGTGCGGTGCGCACATGACAAAACATTCACTTACTATTTTAAGTAAAATTTCATTATATACTTTAATAAACCTAAAGAATATCATTTTAACTATAAATGTGGACCCCAGATGTAAAGGGGTAAAACTAAATTAAAAAATAAAATTAAGTGCATTTATAGAAATAGAAAAATCATCTTTATTCTGGGACTAGGTCCCTTTAGAATAACAGTGTTGTTCATATATATTAACCATAAATCTGGCCAAAAGACTTATTACAATGAATAATAATAAAAAAATACTTGTAATAAATTAAGTATTAATTAAGCTCTTAGGATAAATTAACGAGGACAGTTGGGTAATAGGGGTTCAGTACTACAATATTGGAGCTAAAACAATAGCATAATAATCACTGAATGAAATTAGAAAGGAAAGCAAAATCTATTTTATAGGTAAAGCATTGTAATGGGGGCGGGGTGGCCGAATGGGCTGAAGCGTGTGCACAGCACCGCGAGTTGCCTGGCAACCGGATTATAGATTTGAGAAGATTTAAAAAGTATGAGTTCGCGTCCTGTCACCCCCCGTGTAGCCTAAAAGGCAAGGTAGGGAAGAGCAAAAAAAAAAAAAAAAAAAAAAGGTAGGTAAAGCATTGTAGTGTGTAGTGATGGAATATAAAAATTAATAATAATAATAATAACTGTTAATATGTATCGAAAGAAATTGTAAAAACTAAAACAAAAATAAATAATAAAAAAAAAATAATGATATACATATGTTCCCTAAGATATTTAAGTGATAATGCGTAAAGATTAGGAGAAGAAAAAATAAAATAAAGTATACATATATATACACACATAGCGAGAAATGTGTTGAAGATAATTAGAAAATAAAATACATTTCACTGAAATACATTTCATGAATAAAAAAATTAGAAATTAAGAAAAATAAATTTTATCTATTCACAATGCTTAGTGCGTGGTGATGAAAATTCACGTTCAACACAGAATAAAACAATAAAAAATAAGAGAAAAACAAAATAATGTCTAAAGAAAATTAAAGCCTTATAACATAGTATGTATTTAACCAGCGTCTGATTTATACATAATTTATTAGAGATTATGTGTTTTATTTTTTACAGAAATGGGACGATGCCTTGGCAGTTATGGCCCAGGATTGGGCAAATAAATGCACACTGAAGCCCAATACAGGCAGGCGTAAGTTGGACTTATTTACTAATTTCTGCCATAAGTTCAATTCCTAAGGAAATTTAAAAAAAAATAAACATAAAGAAGAAACCAGTACATCTATTATTTAAGGATTAACCTAAAAATTTTGTGAAACAAATTTATTTTTCTCATGGGTCTAGGGTCATTTAGGGTCAACTTAACTCCTCAAAAAAAAAAAAAAGTCTTTAGAATCTATCTCGAAAATGAGGAATGAGGTATACAGGAAACAGTACCTGTTATGTGTATTAGATCTTTTTGGCACATGTTGTTGATATTATAGGTTGGAGAAAAAACACCAAACGTTTAAAAAGGACAGTTTATGATTTAAAAGGAATTGATTGTTCTTTCAAGCAGATAAGAACAGTTGTTTTCATTTAGTTCTTCGGTTAGCCACTAATCTATTCGTTGTTAATTCCTTTCGTTTTGCCATACTGTTTCACGTTTTCCAACGAGAGTTTCAGTTCAAACGAATGAACTGTTCTTTCAAACAGCTAACAACAGTTATTTTTATTTAATTCTTAAGTCCACTAACAGATGAGCTGTATATTAGTTTAGTTTTTCCAGCCTCTTAACAGATTTTCAATTTTTTTTTAAAGTTTCATCTCAACATGAAAATACGTGACAAAGTTGACTTAAAAATATATGTAGGTGTTACAACAACGAAATTAACGCATGTCTTAATTGTGTCTTGCAGACCGCGAATGATATTTTGTAACTTTTTGGTTTAATTCCACTATTTAAAATTATGAAAATTACAGTCATAATTTGGAATATAAAGTTCCTAAACTTGCCCTTAATATCACATATTCGACTAGGTAAATAATAATTTTGTATGATTTGTGCTAATAATAATTTTAAAATAGGTATTTATATTATAATATAATAATATTAACTATAAATAGAATAATTATTCATTTCAAACTCGAATAATGACCAAATTCAATCATGTCACCTTTCATTATTTTTAAGATCTGTTATTTTTAACTACATCTAAATGACGGAACTGAAAACGAATAAGATTATTTCACAAATCATGCAGTTGCTTTATGAACTATATTTCTTTAAAGAGTCTTGGAGAACTGTTTTTTTTGTCAACAGTTCATTTATGTTTTTTAAAAACATCAAGAAACACATCAATGGCTGATCTAACGAATTACTTTACCTTATTATACCTTACTTAAATATTTGAGGATTAGCTTATTTGATTTATCTTGTTTTAATAATTTTTTAAAAATATATTTGATTTCCGACTACTCCAACACTTACTAGACAAACGCTCCGGTTAATTACAAAAGACTTATATACATGACTACAATAAGAGCTATTTAGACTTACGGAATTGAGCTTTGGGGCTCCACTAAGCCATCGAATTCCTCTCGTATCCAATCCTTTGTAAAATCCTCAAAGCTCCTTACTTTGTCACAAAAATATTCCATAAAGAACTTAATGTTCAATATGCTTCCGATTTGGCCCAATCCAGATACCTATCCTTCCATAATAAACTTCATAACCATCCGAATCCTCTTGTTTCTAACTTTGTTTCCTCTTCGATTCCTGATAACCCTCCGAGGCGCCTGAAAAGAAGATGGCCTCGTGATCTCCTTATATAGACATAGTATTAGAGTGCTACCAGTGGGTAGTTCTCTCAACAAGCGTTTTCATATGATTAGATTCCTGTGTACACATTTACTTGATGTATTTATATTGTTATACAGCTGTAAATATCTTGATTAAATAGTTTAAAAAAAAATTAATTATATGTTGATTGTAGCTAATGATTGTGGGGAAAACATAGCTTGGCTATCTTTAACCGAAGTACAACCAATTGATGTTGAAGCCATAATTGAGATGTGGTATGACGAAATAAATAAATTCGACCCAGAAATTAAAGGGATTCAAGGTGGTACTGAACATTTCACTCAGGTAAGACAGAGGCAATTTTTATATTAATAAATTAATATAATTAATAACTTTAGTAATTAATAATTTTTTGTGATAAGTTAATTACCATAAAATGGGGTAACTTTAGGACTGAGTGGGTAAAATTTAGTGTAAGCATTAATGAAATCACTTTTTATTTGTTTTCAAAATAAAAATTAGGAAAAATGCTACCTTAGAGAAGGAAATGCGAGGGTTAGGTTGCAGTTAATTGGTTTTTAATAATAAGATTAAAAAAGTAGAGATATGATGCATATATGTATATATATATACGCACATACAGTCTGGCCTGAGACGCCCTGGTGTGTACATCGGTGTAATTCGTTCATATAATCTCTCAGTTTACTTCAATTTAATTTTCAGTGCAGTTAAGTTCAGTTTTTTTTTTCTCTTCTCTTTTTTAAAAAAACACTATTATTAATCACGCTATTAAGTGTCGGATCTTCACACCAATCGGAGTAAAGAAAGCGCAGCGAGATTGATAGAGTTCTGAGAGCAACGAGCTGGCAGGCGTCTACTAATCCTAACAGCATTAGACCAGCATTAGACGTTGTTTACTACCGTCAACAGTCTTGGTATTTATTTATATTTTAATTGCGAAGTAATTCTCATTAATAAATTTAAAAAATGGTGCAATGTAATATTTGCAACAACTCTATCGTACGCGAAGATAAGAACAATATACACTGCGTTAAGTGTAAAATAATTTTTCATGGTAGGTGCGTCAACCTTACTGATAAAGACTCCGAAGCATTAAAAATAATTAAAAAAACATGGGTTTGCTCTAACTGCGAACAGGTGAAAAAACAAAATAACGAGCCGTCCCCCTCAGAAATACTTGCGGCAGTAAACCGTTTAGACGCTACCGTGAACGAAGATATAAAAAACATGAAAACAGCACTAGATAAATACGGAGAGCTCAGTTTTGAACTAAACGAAAGACTGACGAAGATTGAAAAACATCTGGAAGGTCAAGCTAAAAAATTTGAGGAGATACTATTAGAAAATAAAGCACTCAAATCCCGAGTGGGCGAATTAGAGGTTCGCTTGAATAACGCAGAGCAAGGACTATTGAGTAGATCACTGGAGATCCGCGGTATACCGGAGCGACCGGGCGAAACGCCCGCTGCTTTGGTGACCAGTATAGGAGCAAGCTTGGGGATCAGGCTTAGTGTGGAGGACCTGGACAACGTACATCGCCGCAGAAGCCGAAAAGATGACTCGCGACCACCGCCTGTTATCGCACGTTTTGTCAGGCAATCAATTAGAGATGACTTAATTACGAAAAGGAAAGTGAAGAGGGATTTCTCCACGCGGGATATCGGTTGGCAGGAAAATGACTGCCACCGAATTTATCTGGGTGAAGAGATGACTCGCACAAACAGACACCTCTATTGGTTAGCCCGGCAGAAGAGAGCGGCGGGAAAAATCAAATATACGTGGTTTGCTTCCGGAAAGGTGCGGTGTCGAAAAGAGGACGGACATAGAGTCATCCTGATAGAACAGGCCTCGGATCTAGATGTATTTGACTGACTACCTAGAAGCCGTCAACCCCTTAGCCTCATTAAAATAGTCTTACTTCTTCTCTTAGTGCTATCTCGACACCGTCACTCACCAATCTATTTATTTTTAAGTACATTCTCTTTATTTATTTTTAATGTTAATATTACTTTTTCTTCATTTAGTTTCATGTACGATAATCGCTTTTCTGTACTTTCTACTCGTTTTGTCTTCTCGCCACCAAACACTGACTGTTTCTCTCCAAATCCACTGTATGTCTAGTTCCCTAATCACATGTCAAGTTAACTCTCAATCACTTTCTGCCCATTATGACGAATTCCTGCAATACTTTACCCAAAACTTTTATCATATCATAGCAATATCCGAAACCTGGCTTAAACCTTATATTCCATCATCTTCAGTATCCTTGCCGAATTACATCCTGCTCCGTCATGACCGGGTAAACCGGACTGGCGGTGGAGTAGCCATGTTTGTCCACAATAGCCTAAAGACCCGAATCCTCGATTGCTCCCCATCTTCCGATCATCCTCATGTAGAATATCTCTTAGTAGAAATTCTCAGTAATATTTCTCCTATCCTTTACGCCGTGGTATATCGCCCTCCTCTCGTGCCATTTGACCCGTCCTTCGAATCAACTCTATTCAACTTCGTTCCCCTCTATCCCAGAATAATTATCTCCGGTGACCTCAATACCAATTTCCTCTCAAAATCCAATGACAAATCCTATTTAGAAAATCTGTTTTTCTCACTTCACCTATTCATCGTTCCTTTTTCCTCCACCCACCACACCAGCAGATCTGACACTTGGCTAGACTTCTACATCATCGACTCAGCACAAAACCTCCTCTCCGCCTCTCAAGTGCCAGTATCCTTTCTTTCATCTCATGATCTGATATAAATAACGTATAATATCCGCACTCCTCCAATCCATCCTCGAACTATCACTTTCCGCCAACTGGATACCCTTACTCGAGAAAAAATATTACCTGATCTATTAACATTGGATTTAAATGGAATATATCATTGCTCCTCTGTCGACACCATGGTTGATATTCTCACCACCAATCTTCTCAATATACTCAATACCCACGCTCCTCTCAAAACCTCCACTTTCCGTCATCGTCCTGCTCCTTGGATGTGTCAGGAAATTAAGGATCTGCAGAAGAGACGCGACGCTGCACGCAGACGCTTCAGACGGACTAGGCTTGCAGATGATTATCAAATATTCAGAATGCTTCGCAACACGACACAGACAAGGATCCGACAAGCGAAAGCGAACTACTTTCACGAAGCCCTTTCCTCAGCTCCTGATATCAAATCAAAATGGCTTCTACTTCGTAAGCTTTCCCTCTGTGAACCTTCTAGATCCCCTTCCTCAGTTTTCCCAATATCACCTGATGACCTAAACTCCCACTTTATATCGGTTTCCACCTCTTCGTTACCATCCCCTTCCGGCTTTTCTCCAGAGGTTCCTTTTAACGACAATAATTTTTATTTTTCCGACATTTCTCCCACAGACCTTATTTCCGTTATAATGAAATCCCGTTCCAATTCCGTAGGCCCAGATGGCATTCCTATCAAACTAATAAAATTATGTCTCCCTGAAATCCTCCCAGCACTCCTTTTCATCTACAATTTCTCCCTGCAGAATTCAATATTCCCGACCTCTTGGAAAAAAGCCATTGTCCTTCCTTTAAACAAAAAGCCTAATCCATCCTCTCCCGAAGATTTCCGCCCAATATCAATCCTTTCCAATCTTTCTAAACCCCTAGAAAAGTTGGTGCAATCCCAAGTTTCCAACTTCCTTGAACAATCCAACCAACTCGATCCTCTCCAATCTGGCTTCCGTCCTGGCTACTCTACACAATCTGCTCTGATTAAAATTACTAGTGATATCCAGACTGCAATAGATGACAAAAAACTAACCATTCTTATACTTCTTGATTTCTCTAAAGCTTTCGATTCCATTACCCATTCCATCCTTTTCAACAAACTAAAATCATTATCCTTCTCCAAGAGTTCCATCTCTTGGTTCCAGTCTTTCCTCTCACAACGAACCCAAGCAGTTTCCATACCTAATCAACCTCTATCTGCCTACCTTCCTTTATCCTCAGGAGTTGCACAGGGTTCAAGCATGTCTCCTCTTCTTTTCAGTTCTTATATTAATGACCTAAATGATACAATTATCCATTGTTCCCACCACCTTTATGCCGACGATTCTCAAATCTATTTATCCTTTTCTCCCGCTGAGTTATTGGTGGCATTTGCCAAAATTCAAGAAGATTTAGATCGAATTAATGCCTGGGCCAACTTAAATGGATTAAGGCTAAATGCTGCCAAAACTCAGGCCATTCTCATTGGTTCCAAGCCCCTTCTTAGATCCCACACCAACTTTCCCTCACTCTATCTAAACAACCACCCCATCACCTTCTATCCCTTTGTTAAAAATTTAGGCTTTCTCATAGATCAAACCCTTTCCTGGAATCACCATATCTCTCATATATCCCGCCGTGCAATTTCTACCCTCAAACTATTCCATCACTTCCGCCATCTTCTACCCCAAAATACCCGTAGACTCCTAGTTTCCTCTCTCATCTTTCCCCACTTTGACTACAGCTGTGTGGTGTACGATGGCCTCTCGGTGGAACTGCGTGATAGACTCAAAAGACTTATGAATTGCTTCGTAAGATTTGTAATCGGAACCCCGAGACGCTCCCGTGTCTCCCACCACTACACTGAGTTAGGGTGGCTCTTCCCCTCCTTAAGAAGACAATATTTCCTTGGCACTTTCCTTTATCAAATCATTACCGATCATCGTCCTTCTTATGCCTACAACCTTCTCCAATTTAAGTCCTCAATCCATTCACTCACTACAAGATCCCGACCCTCTGACCTATACATCCCTTCTCATAGATCTGCCTCATTCCAAAATTCCTTTATAGCCCGCTCTGTCAACTTTTGGAATTCCCTCCCGATCAAAATTCGACATGCCCCTTCCCTGTACACATTCAAAAACCTCCTATTCCAATTCCTGTTCCAAAAACAGTCAGATACCAGCTAACGATTAATATTATATATGTATTGTGTAGCAATCATATCACTTGGTAAGAGATAGTACATGCATTTCCTACTATCGACGTAGGAATTTCAATACATACATTTTTTTGTATTTTTTTTTTTATTCAATTATAAGTAACTGTTTATTTTCATATATATATTCAAGTAAAGTTTTTTTTTTTATGAAATGAACTCATTGTATCTCTTTTTCGTTCTTCATTTCTCAAAGTGTATGTTTATGTTGTTCAACCCTTAAATATAATTTTGTTCATAGTTCAAATGATTCGTTCATAGTTTTAATTGTTTTATTCATAATTTTAAATGCTCTGTACATAGTTGTATCTGTATTGTATATAGCTTGTGCACCTAAGGTTTTCTTTACTTTTTATTTTATTTTATCAATGTTTTTTATTGTTTCAACGTTCAGGCCAGTAATATTCTATTATTTTGTACATTATTGTTATTCTGAAGGGACTTAGTCCCAGAATAAAGTTTTTTTTTCTATCTATCTATCTATATATATATATATATATATATACATCTAAATGGAGTATAACACGTATCTGACATTAATAATAACTTTACAGTTGATTTGGGGCGAAACACAATTTATTGGTTGTGGATCTACCATATTTCAGGATAAGGAGGATTCCAAAGTATATCAGGCTCTGGTGGTCTGCAATTACAAACCGGCGTAAGGGTAACAATTCATATACGTATATATATATTATATAATATATAAATTCTATAATAATCATAAATAACGAAGATGCGATCAGATAGAATAAGGTAAATCGTTAAAAAAAAAAAAAAAAATGAAAGACAAGAAGATATTCAACTCAAGTGCACAAAACGTAATCATGCTAATCGAACAGAAAACAATTTGTAAGTTAATATATAAAATCTATAAACGTACAAACCCATGATTCTCTACAATACATTTACAAATTATTACGCTCTTAATATCCCTTAATATTATTACGAAAACACAAAAAATGAAATAACAGAAGATGAATCAAATATGGATTAATGATTAGTAGTTATATCAAATGATGGTAGTTCTTCAAAATATACATTTATTATTCTTCAAACAATAGTCAATGCTCCCTTCTAAGTAACCAAAAAACTCTGCATAATGACCTCAATGTTCCGTTTGCACTAAATCTAATCCCATACAAATAGTCCAAAGTTCACTAGAACCTCACTTATTATCCTAATCATGTAGTAAAATCTCTGTCTAGCTCCAGCCATTCCTACAATCCTCCTCGGAGTTTAAAACGGCAGTGGTTCCGCAACCTTTTGATATGTATATATTGGAGTACTGGCAATGGGCAGATTCTCCAACCATGTCCTGAGTATCTGTTGATCTAGTGAACTCCAGCAGTCTCCACTGGCTTTCAATACCAGTGACGCGGCTGGTAGAGAAGCACTGAGATCTCCTGGAGTCCTGCTTTGGCTTCCACATTTAGGAAACAAAGCTTGATTCAGACCCCTGGGCCAATGTAAATATTGTATATAGGTGTGAATGTGTTTTATTTGTATCATTATCATTTAGCTTCAATTTATTATTTTATTTATCTAGTATATATTTATAATAATACTCTTTATCTTTTCTATTTCTCTCTCTCTCTCTCTGTATATATATTTTTTTTTTCTTCACTTTAGTTATTCATATTTATTCTCCTTTCGTATGTACATATTGTGTGAATGAATACTGTAGCCCTAGTACCAATGCCCTTCAATGTGGCAGACTGTATTAATATTCAATAAAATCATTAAATATTCTACATTAAGATTTGAACAAAGTTGTTTATGGTAGATATATAATACTAGTATGACGCACCGATTTTCATATCTAACCACGACTGTTAAATTAAGAATTCACCAACTAAGTGATTAGCTTTTCCCACTAAGAAATATCGTTCCAGTTCGATGGTTAAGCAATCAAACACAGCTATCCCTGGACTTATAGTAATCCATTATCGTACTCCCTGAAGATTTATTTAATTAGCCCAAGAGTCTTGAGGTTTTTAGTTTTCTCATTAGAGCATAGAAGTCTTGTCTATTATTGAGAGTATAGAAATCTAGACAATAGACTCAGTAATGACTGAGAGGTTAGAAGTCTATGACTGAGGGTATAGAAGTCTATTAATGAGAGTATAGAAGTCTAAAACTTAGGGTGTAGAAGTCTATTATTGAGAGTAGAGAAGTCTATTAATGAGAATATAGAAGTCTATAACTTAGGGTTTAGAAGTCTATTATTCAGAGTACAGAAGTCAATTAATGAGAGTATAGAAGTCTATAACTTAGGGTGTAGAAGTCTATTATTGAGAGTAGAGAAGTCTATTAATGAGAGTATAGAAGGCTATTACTGAGAGTATAGAAGCCATGCCTGAATATTTTTTTGCGATTACGGCCTCAGCTAAGAACCGCGCGATTATAATTATTTTTTGGCTTTCCTTTAAGCCCAAACTTTCTTTATTTTTTCAATCATTTCTTTTTTTCGTTCTTCTGTCCATTTCCTTCCTTCGTCCATTTCTAGAACTATTCTCATCAATTTACATTTCCAGCAGATTTTCGTTCGTCGAAGGTTATAAAAATATAATTTTAAAAAATTTTATTATTATTGAAATTTACAACTGTATTAAATGATAAATAGAACAAATACATATGAAATAAGTAACAAGGCATGTACAACATGAAGAGAAAATACCGATTGATAGCACTCCAATTATATTCTATATTAGAAGGTCCCGAGGCCATCTTTTTTTCAGACGCCTCGGCGTATTATCAGGACTAGAAGAGGAAGCAAGGTTGGAAACAAGAGGGTTCGGATGGTTCAGAAGTTTATTATGGCAGGATAGGTATCTGGATTGAACTAAATAGGAAGCATATGGTATATTAAGGTCGTTATGGATGATTTTATTTGTGACAAAGTAGGAAGCATTGAGGATTTTACGAAGGATTTTGGATTGTAGGGATTGGATACGAGAGGAATTTGTTGGTTTAATAGAGCCCCAATTTCGATCCCAGCAATATTTTAATGTTAAAAACCATAACATGTGAAATGTATTAGGAACCATAGCACCTAAGAGACTTTTGGCAATAATTATGTTCGTAAATTTTAGAGCTTTAAAACGCAATTTATCTTGTCTCAACTTTAGAAACCATCTTAGCTTCGAAGCCTCCTAATTTTTTCTATGACTTTTATTGTTGTGATAAGGTTTTAAGTTTCGAAATAGAGATTTGTCACTTCTACATGAAATTCTCTTTTCGTATTCCTCATACCTTATTCATAAAAGTCCACCGTATTATATATAGTGATTATTAATAATCATTTTAATTGTTAAAATTAATTATCAATGTTTTCACAATAAATATCACTAATTATTAAATATGTTTTTTTTTTTTTTACTAAAAGTGGAAACTTTGTTAACAAGCGTCTATACGAGCTTTTAGATAAGAATCATATTGATGAAGAAACAGGAGAACCAGTAAGGTGCGAAAAAGGAATACCATCCTCTAGACATCCTGGTCTGTGTGGTAAGTGTTAAAGATAACTGTTAAAAAAAAACTGTTCCTTAATGTATTCTTTGAGTTACAACAATAAAATGTATCTGTTTCCGCTTTATTTTGAAGCTTGATGATTTGGAAAAACGGTGAATAATTATACATTTTATGTTGAATCGGATCAGCTAGAGTTTAGCAATATAATATTTAACGACATTATCTTGAAAAATATAGGTCCAGTAGGTACAGAATCTAAATCTTCCTGTTACCAATAAAGTTCCAAAAAAACTACAAAAAAAAAAAAAAACAGTGAAACTATAACGTTACTAGTTATGTTTGAAAACTCACATTATATAGCTATCCATCTCTGTGATTCATTCGCCATTAGTATTAGAGAGTTTATAAGCCAATGCTAGGAATCTTTTTTTATTTATTTTGCTTAATGTTGTTACGTGCAAAGTAATGTTAATTTTTATGTAAAATGATTTGAAAATAATAAACCACTGTGAAATAATTTACTGCGTTTTTTATTTTATTAAAAACTAGTGCCCGTCATTGACGGGTGTATAGTTAAAATTTGAGAATCATTTTTTGAGATGGATTTTGTATTATGGGAGGAGGGGGAGGGTACAAATTCAATTTCATGAAATTTGGCCGGGAGGAGGTAGGAAGTTATTTTGAATTTTTTCATGGCGGGTTTATGGAAGTGAAGGTTTCGCAATAGTCATAACAAAAAACTTTGTTATTTGGCTATTTGTTTAGGTACCACACAACTAAACCGACTACCACAGATCCATTAACATTTATTAAGTGTTTAATTTGAATTTATAAAGCGAGGAGATTGTGGATTCAGTTAATTAATATAAAAGGGTTGTTGCCTCTCCACTTCTTTGAACTCTGCTGATTTTATCGCTGGAAAAATAACCAAAATAACATAGAACATTGAGTCATCTAAATCCGTGTAAAATCAGAACTTGATCTGAATATTGTGGCGGTCGGAGTGAAAGTTTTGGGATTTTTTTTCCTGATTTCCGGCTAATCCGTTTGGTTAATCCTAAAAATGTATACGAAAACATATGTTAAGATCGGAAAGTTGAATCGAATAACACCTAGGACGGGAGGATCGGACAAAGTTGAAAAATGAGCGTGTTTTAAGCGACAACGCGTTAAAGATAAACACTAAAGAATATTAGGCTAGTAACTTGAGGATTTAAACGGGAAATATATGACTAAATATGTGTGTGTGTGTGTTGTGTGAGTAAGTATGTGTATGTGTGTGTGTGGATGTATACATATATATATGTATGTATATATATATATATTTTTCTTTTGCACATAAATTATATTTAGTTTTCTTGCACTTTTAATGATTGTAACATAGTTTTTTTTTCATTTATATCTTATGTAGGTTTTTATGAGATTTTTCCTACTGTAAAAAATTAATTTCAATTTTCGAAGCAGTATTCAAACCACTGTTATGTCAAGTGTAAGGTTACTACATCCATAAACTTGTAACTTATCTGGGGTGCTCAGTCAAAAAGGAAGGCAAAAAAATAAATTATAATATTTGGCATATGTAAAAAATAAATATTATAATTTATTTTTTTGCCTTCCTTTTTGACTGAGCACCCCAACTATTCTTCTCTTCATTATCCACGACAGTCAACCAATTACCAATTTTGTAACTTATCTCTATGACATGTTGTAATATATAAAAAAAATAAATAAATAAATTTAAAAAAAAAATATATATGACTAAAAATGTGAGAAAAATGGCATTTGTTTAACTTGCGTATGTGGTTTTAAACATATTCCATACAAACTTGATGACTCCAGCAACCAAGGGAAAACTTTGTACATACTTTTTTTTCTACATACAACTCTTAAACGGTTTACGGAAGCAAAAAGTATACGCTTCAAGGAATTAAAGAACGTTAAATAGAGCTTAAAAGAAGTACCTAGTAATAATTTTGTTAATTGGAATGGTAGAAAGCCACGTTCAACCAACGCTGATTTTTTACCAAATTTGTCAAAAACTGAGACAAACTACTATAAATGGCCCTGTAGCTTGGAAATGAGCCTCCAAGGAGAAAGGAAAGAAAAACTTATAGAATCAAAGTTGTAGAACATCAAATTTTGCGTCCACTGAGCATTAACAATTTTAATTTGGCTAATAAAAATCTGTAATCTCTCGATGCCTGGGAATTGGTAATAAAGGTATGTGTGGTTGGTGATCATTCTACCGAGTTATTTTTATTTAGAATCTGCTATAATCAATATAGGCCTCTTTTCCTTCTCTCAGCAGCGAATAATTTTGAGATGGAGATGTCAAAACAAACCGATCTTCATTAAGAAATAACGAATCCTAGATATATTATTGTACTAAATTAAAAACGCTGCAAATTATTCCACAATGGTTTATTATTTCCAGACAATTATACATCTAAAGTAACATTACCTTCATAGTTACAAAGAAAAAAAAATAAAAGGTGATTCCAATTATTGGACTAAACTTTTTTTTTTTATCATTGGTAATATGCTAAAAAAAAATAGCATTACATCAGTAACATATTCAAAATTTAAAAACCAAACAAAGGATATAACATTTGGAGTAGAACATATTAAAAAAAACCGGAGACCATATCTTTGCTCCTAATTGTCCAATTTTAACGATTTTGTTTTTGGTTTTTAGGAAATTTCGTAAACTTTTAAAAAACCATTCGTTTTTTTTTTTTATTAAATTTTTATTCGTTTTTCAAATTCTACGCATCCTTAAACGTGAAACCTCAAATTTTGAGAGGGGATTAAGTTTTTGAATTTTTTGGTCGATCACAATGGTTCATTATTGAAAATAATAAACCAAAAATATTTTAAAATCGCGATATCTCTACTAATAGTGCTTTGATTTCGATGAAATTTCCTTCATTTTGTAGGAAATTTAAATACCTTTGAAACATCTTATCACATTATTGACAAAAAAGTGTAAACTTTTTGAGTTATTCGGAATTTAATTTTACCATCCCTCATAACTTTTTATCCAGCTTCTTTTCTTATATAGATAAATTTTAAGGGAATCAAGAAAATGACTTTAACGAAGTTTCATTGAAATAGGTACTTTCGTTTAGGAGCTACAGTCTATAGCAACGCAGGTTTTCCGGCCGCCATTTTGAAAGTAAAAGGCGGAGAGTAATGTCGATGAAGGAGGATCCTCCTCGGGTGACCTCTGATTTTATATCTTTATTTGGAAAAAATCGGTCCAGTAGTTTCGGAGAAAATGGGCGGATGGCGGACGGACAAACAATTTTTTATTCGTTTTTCGAATTCTACGCATACTGAAACGTGAAACCTCAAATTTTGAGAGGGGGTTAAGTTTTTGAATTTGTTGGTCGATCACAATGGTTGATTATTGAAAATAATAAACCAAAATTTAATTTGTAAGTGTGACGGCACACCACTTAAGCACACTAGATGATAAGGAAATATTTTTAAGTTTGGTTAGGAGGAAATTATGGAACAATTGAGTCAAATGCTTTAGCGAAATCAAGAATGATCAGGATGGTGAGTTTCTGTTGGCCTATGGCTGTGTGGAGATCTTGGGAGATTTTAATGAGGGCGGCATGAATTGTGTCAGTACAAGAAAAGACTCAAGATGTACAAACACTACATAAATAATTTTATATTCGTGTGATTAATTTATTAATTTAACTCCCAATGAATCAATACTACGTTAATAACAAAATCTTTACGTAGCAATGAGTTTACCTATATTATTATTTTAAACAAAATATTATGATACGTTTCAAATATTAGTAATTATTTATTATTAATTAATTAATTAACTGTAATTGTTCTTACAGCTCATGACATCGGACACGCGCTTGGAACCTATGTCCCATGTTCTCGCTACGGTGACAACGTACAACCTACAGCATATTTCTGGATTGCTCTATTATTATGCGGCTATATCAATGTATTTTTTTAACGATCTAAAATAATAAATTTGTTTAAAATTTTAAAGGCTTTTTTTTCAATTAAATTAATAAAAATTTATTTTAACTTGCATGGGAGTAGAGGGATACTACGGACGCGGAGTCCGTTTGTGATTTAAGGACCAAAAATACTAGATCCATGTCCGTCTGGTGCGGAAACAAATTTTGTATTTTGCATAAAACAATAGTATATAGTTATGAATATGAGTATAATATTGAAAGAATTTGTACAGACCGAAGAAGCAAAATGTGTTAAAATATTTTTATAAAGGAGAAACTAGGTTGATATTTGTATTTCACACCTCGAAAAACCATTAAATACGAATTTTCAAATAAATAAAAATTTTGATTCCAAATTTTCCCTAAGGGTGGGGAGTGAACCATAAATTTGTTTTCGGAAATCACAAAAATAATGATAACTTCAACATTACCTAACCACAAGAAAATTGTCAGGGATTTAGGTACCTATAAAATACACGAAATTACATAAACCCACTAGCGGATCCAGGATTTAATTTTTTTTTGGGGAGGGATTTAGCCCGAAAGCTTTTCTTTCATAAAAATAACGATAATTACTTTGGAAAAATAAATTAACTACCTATATGAAATGGCGTTTAAGTGATTCCTAAGGCCATTTTAAATGTAATTACACGAACAATAATACTTTGAGAGATAATTTTTTAAAAAATTTTTCGATAATATTATTCATATTGTATAATTTTTTTAATATTATATGATTTTGATAATATAATTCGATAAAAAGCCCGAAAGCCCCCTCCTCCCCCCGTGCATAAACCATACACCCGTAAACGAACTAAAACTAGAAATATAAAATAAAAACGTTTGGGTTCTTTTTTTATTTAATCCTTATAAAGGCGTAAAATCTAAAAAGTCATCGATACGGTTTGGAGGAACCATAATTTAGCTTTTCAATGGTTCAACCTTCCCTACTTTACATGTAGCATTTGTTTTTGTTTTTTGTTTATTTATTATATATTTGAATTAACAATGTGTTTTCTTATTTTATATTAAAGAACAACAAATCTATTGATGTACAACAATCTAGAAGTCAATAAAGAGAAAACACGAAAAATAATAATATCAAAAATGTTAAAATTTTATTAAAATCATCTTTTTCTCGGCCGGAATAGAATTGACAAAAACCCTCGGTCATGTGTCTAATATTTTTTTTACTTATTATAAAAAAAAGTATCATGGGTTAGTGGTGGTTACAGTAATACAGAGCAATTTAGTTAAACAAAATCCAATTTTCTGAAGTGAATAGATTATACAGTATATATAATTACATTCGTATATGCCTATGTTCAATTGGATCATTTTAAATTATGAGGCTCACTAATTGCTTGTAGATATTAAATATTACTAATGAATTATGTAAATAATTATTAATCACGATGTAACTTTAGTTGCTGAAAATAACCAATGCAAGTAAACATTGATTTACAGTGTTTATATTCGTTAAATCCTTCAAAATATGGCAGGTTATTGTGCATCCACAATATTTAGTTACTTTGAGATAATTATAATTTGTTCCGTCTCCCACGTCATTTCTAGCATACGAAGAGAAAGAGTCATCCTATTGGTAACTATTTTAACGAGAGTGGACAGGTCGATAATCATTCAGAAAATAAATTTCAACTCGCCCAGGTCTCATTATGTCAAACTGTTGCCAAGGTAATCACCAATAAAGGTCATATTAGGTGGGCACAATTTTGCTCGCGGGCACCACTTTGCCCTCTACGTTAGCGACTCCTGGTTTATGGTAAGTTAGAAAGTCAGACCTTTGTTTTTCTTCTCTTTATTTGTTAATTCACAACTATCAATGTTCAATGCCGACAAGTAAATGAGATTACAATGTATAAATCAACTAAGAGGAAGGGCGTGATAGGCTTGAGGAAGAGAAAAAAACAGTGGCTGACTTTGGTCATAATGGTTAATCAAGGATGTCTCTCATCCAACTCCTTTTCAGCCTTCTATGGATGTTACCAGGCATATTTTTATTGGCCATGTCTTGAATGAATCTATTAGGGTGACCATAAAGCTTGCTGCGAAACCTTTTGTAGTAGGTTTGTATGTGTTCAGTGATGGTTTGCACGTGCTTGTTTATGGAGAGTTATGTTACTAACATACCAAGGTGCTTGACTGATTGTCCTGAAATATTTGTAGTTTCGGAATATGCGTTTCTTCAGCAATTATATATATTTGTGAAACTTATGTCCAAATTGGTTTTAGTAAGTAAGTGTAAATGTTAAGTTTTGGACTTAAGTCTGAGCTACGTCCCAGCAGAGAATATAACAGTAGAAATTCGGACCTGGTCTAACAATCCTTTTGCTTATAACGATTTTTTTTTTTGATAACGCTATCTAGCGTATTTTTTACGAACTCTTACGTGAAGATGTACGGTGAATGTTTTCGATAAATTTCCAGAAACGAACCATAGAAAGCCTTTTATATATGACTCTGAAATTCCTTTATCAAGTTCTAGAAAAAAAATATAATATATACTGGATATGTTGTATAGTTATATTAGTAGTACAGGTTATTTTTCAATCAAGTCGTTTGGGCGCCATTTAACAACATATGATCCTATAACATGTGATTTGTTTAATTTTTAATTGATTTTAATTTGTCACTGTTAAAAAATAAATTTAAGAAGTATTTCTAATGATATTCCAAATGTTGTTGTTGTTATTACCTTCCTTATCTCTAGCTGAAAAACGTTGTAACTTGATACGTAAGTATTTGAATTTTATTATGTTTTAGATATAGCATACAACAATACGACAACGTTAATGAAAGCCGGTAAAAAACCAGGACTTGAAATAAACGTGGATAAAACAAAATATATGGTTAGCTGCAAAAATGGCGATTCTACTGGTGATATCGATATAGATGGTAATATGTTTGAACAGGTAGATAAATTTAGGTATCTAGGTTCTAAAATAACTAGAAAAAACGAAATTGAAGAAGAGATTAAGGTTAGGCTGAAGGCGAGAAATGCTTGTTATTTTTCTGTGACAAAACTACTCAGTTCGCGCCTCTTGTCCCGTAGCTTAAAAATTAGAATCTATAAAACAATTATCTTGCCTACAGTTCTTTATGGATGCGAAACTTGGCCGCTTACATTAAGGGATGAGCAGCGTCTTAAGGTTTTTGAAAATAAAGTATTGCGTAGAATATTCGGACCGAAGAAGGATGAGTTAACCGGAGAGTTCAGACGGTTACACAACGCCGAATTGCATGAACTGTATCCTGGTAATATAATTGAGGTGATTTCGTCCCGGCGAATAAAATGGGCTTGTAAAGTTGTTGGGATTAGTAACGAGAGAATTCCTAAAAGATTAATATTTGCTGTGCCGAATGGTAAGCGTCCGAGGGGTAGACCGAAGCGAAGGTGGGAAGATTGCATTAAAGCCGATCTGAAGGGACTGGGTTTGGACGGCGAACGGTGGAGGGAGGTATGTAATAAGAGATTGGTGGTGTCGGCATCGAACCTTCGGGTTTGCTAAGCCTTTTATTATTATTATTTAGATATAGCTAAATAATTAGTTATAACAAAACATAATTAGTGTTTTGTCTTGATTTTTGTTTTATTTGATGTTATAGAGAAGTTTTTTTTCTTCATAAGTTGAAATCATAATTACATTATTTTTGCACTTTATAAAATATATAGGACGTAAAGAAATATAAATATGGCCCAATACAATTTTTATGAAACTACGAATGGGGTACGAAAGTGTAATTTGGGTAAATATTTGGAACAAATATAAATAAATCAATTTTTCCATTGAGTTGACTAAAAGTTCATATAATAGAGAACGTTACTACATCAAATCGTGGATTCATAAATCTCAGGGTATAAAAAGCCATAGAGAGGATTAATAGGTACAAAAACTAATAAAGACTTAACAACATAAGCGTAGGCACTTAGGAAATACTGAGGGAGGGAGGAGCGGGTTATCAGTGCTGGTCTTTTTTGGAAATTTGGCGCCCCAAAAAATTTAATTTATTTTTTAAGCTCTTTTATAATATATAAGATATGAATAATATTTCATTCAACATGTCTCTAACGTAGTTAATATATTAATAGGCTAAAATAAATTATTTTCATTCTCTTCATAATTTTTTTAAAATTCCTAACTAGTGGTGGAAAGAGGGGGAGGCACCATTTTGGCGTATACCCAGGTTGTTCTGCTCTAAGGCCGTCACTGATAGTACGACAACATGCCAGTGTTAAATGCATGGATGGATGGCGAGGATATGGAAAACCCCATATAGGCTAAAAGGCGAGGAAAAGTAGGGGGGAAAACTTGATGATTGAATAATATATATAATATTTTATATGAAAAAAAAAATTTAGAACTTAAAAAATAAATCTCGGTCAACTGGGCCAAAGCTTGGAACAATTATAGCATTGAAAAAGTGGATTACAACTTATAGATTGTGACTTGTCGAGGGAGGAAGAAACTGGCTAAATAACTAATAATAACTATTATTATATAGAGGTCATATTATTTAGCCATGAAGGGGAGATAAAGGTGAATTACAACGGAGAAAAGGGGTAATATCAACAACCTTCTAAAAAGCTCATAACATTTTTTGTCCCACTTATTAGCACGAAGATCACAATTAATTTCTTCAAAATCAAGATAAATCTCAGATAGTTTTATGTATTATATACTAGAATCTGGTTCACAGGAATCCAATTCATCATAAAAAAAAAAACCAAAAAAAAACCTGTACCACTACAACACATGAAGGGTCTGGGGTTCAGTACTATTTAGGGAAAGTACTGTTTCTAGGTCAACGGTTGTGCAAGGAGGTGATTTGACCGTGATCACGCTCAACCACCAGGTTTTCCCCCTTAATTAATTATTTAATTAAGGGTACCCACTTTATAGAGGCTGGGTATGCCCCAGGAGGGTCTCCCGACCCAGGATCGCCCCACGGCCAATGAAACAGATATATAAATTTTTTGCCTTGAGCCGGGGTTCGAACCTGGGACCTTTGCATTCAGTTCCCTACCACTGAGCTACCCCGCTCCCCCAATTCATTATAATGTAAATTTAAATTGTTTTCGAAAGTATATTAACCGATGATAAACTGTCCAATTTCAGGCAAACCTCTGAGTTGTAAAAATGTGGTCAAAATACTTAATTACCACAATGAAATGAGAAACTTGGTGGCTTCAGGAGAAACAAACTTGAAACCAGCAAAGGACATGTGGGTTCTCGTGAGTTTCTACATTCATTTTATTTTTAAGTTCAGAAAAGTTTCATTGCTTTAATCTCATTGCATCTCATTTGTTATGTTGTGTTAATTTACATTTAATTTTTACCACGATAAATTAGTATTTTCAAGAAAGACTGTAAAAATAAAAAAAAACTTACATTTTTGTTTCTTAAGGGCCCCTTACATGGTCAATATTATTGAAGCAATATAATCAAAGGAAAGTAAAAATATTTTCCTATTACTTTCACTTACCTATCTATATAAGTAATATATAGTAAAGGAAAGTATTCCGTTCGTGTAAATTTTTGAATCTGAGTTTTCAACGGAAATACACGTTTTCAGGTCCCCTGAGTCCAAATAACCAAGTCCCGCAAAATGGTCTGTGTGTGTACGTGAACAGTCTAGCTCAAAAACGAAAAGTCGTACGAAACTGATATTACGTATTTAAGATTTGTATATGGTTGGGATGTTACAGCAACTTTTTCCTAAAAATCGGCTAACCGGAAGCGCTACTTTATATGAATGGTTATACACATTCTTACAATTTTCTTAAAAATGTCTCAAACTATTTTGATTAAATTCGGTGTACTATTGTATAATTAACTGGTCTTCAATATCAATTAGGACTTATCCCCATCGATATCACTTTACAAGGCTTAAATGTCCAATGTTCAACATATCTTCCTCTAAGGTACTTTTAATTTGGTTTATTCTAAATAATTAATTATCTCTTATTATTAAGAGTTACGAAAAAATGCTAAATATAACTTTTGAAAGAATTTGATAATTGAAAAATGGAGAAGAAAAGAGAAAATGTGTATTTAGGTCGAAAATGAATCGCAGGAAATAATAGTCAGAAGGTAAACCTATAACCTATCCTAGGAAAGCGAGAATTTTAGAAGAAACAATATCTAATATAGAAAGTCGTAGAAGGTAATGAAGAGTGACGAAAAATTATAAATACTAATTTGTGAAAATATTATTTAACGGAAATCACATTTCCGAGGAAATTAAATGAAATTTTGTAACTAAATGTAAACTTAAGTTTTTTTTTTAATTTTGAAAAAGTATTCAAAATCCACACAACCAAGGCACATTGTTAAAAAAATATTTCATAGTACTTGTGTGATAGAAGAAATGAAATAAAAAAATATTTCACAGACTACAAAGCATATGTTTATAACCTTAAACATATTTATTGTAGTTTAATAATTCTAGATTTGATATTATATTTAAATAATTAGGTATCAACGTCCGTTTATTCCGAAAAATCGTCATGCAACCTTTTAGAAAATTAAATTAGTGAATAATTCGATGGCTTGGATGACGCAATAGGCGAGGATGAGGATGAGGTGGAAACGGCAGTAGACAGAACCAAAATGGGAAAAGCACCAGAAACAGATGAAATAGCTCCAGAATTAATTAAATATAGAGGCTACGAAATGATCAAGATCCTTCAAACTCTTTTCCAAAAGATTTGGGACCTCAGGCTGATACCACGAGAATGGGAGAACAATATCATAATCCCTATTCCCTATAGGCTAATATGCCTCTACTCCTCAGTTGTGTACCAGATATACTCAAGCATACTTGAACAGCGACTAAGGCATATAGTAGAGCAAGATCTAGAGGAGGAGCAAGCCGCTTTCAGACCAGGCAGACAGACCCAAGACCACATATTCTCATTACGGATAATTGTCGAAAAAGCATGGGACCGTGGAAAATCGGTTTATCTAGAATTTCTGGATCTTAGGGCCGCATTCGACTCAGTTCTGAGACAAGAGATATGAGACTCACTAATTAGAAGAACCTGCAAACTTGGTGAGTGCTATTAAATCAATATACCAAGACCCCTCCCCCCCAAGGGTGTAATGAGGCTCAATGGACACACATCAGAACCTTTCCACTTTTATAAAGGAGTAAAGCAAGGGGATAGTCTTAGTCCTCTGCTTTTTATCCTTCTCATGGATGAAATTTGGAAAGTGTGTAAAAGAAAAACTCCAAGGGCTGTTGTGGGATATTGGAATTTGACACCAGTGTTGGCTCAAGCTATGTTATATGCCGACGACATAATTCTTATAGCGGACTCACAAGAGGCTCTACAGGCATCATTGGCCGAGTGGAAAGCTGCGAATTGAAGCTGCATATAAACCCGTCTAAGAGCAAGATTATGTTAAAGATAATGCGGAGCCTATGATGTTAAGTAATGGCGAACCCCTAGAGGTAACAAATGCATACAGGTATCTGGGGACAATCATCAATGAAGATGGTAAAATAGACCAGGAGGTACTAAATCGGGTGATGAAGGCCTATGGGATATATTACCAGATAGCCAATACAATCATAGAAAAATGGGAAGTAAGCAGAAAGGCCAAACACGATATATAAGGCGGTGTTCCTCCCAGTACTTCTTTATGGATCTGAAAGCTGGACAACCCTCGATAAGCACATAGGCAGGATCACAGCAGCGGAAATGAGATTCCTCCGAAGAATAGCTGGCAAAACTAAGAGGAACTGTGTTGGAAATGAAAGAATCCGTGAGGAATTGGAGGTGACATCAATCCGTGGCATCCTAGAAGAGAAGCAGTTGAAATGGTTTGGGCACATCTACAGAATGGACGACACCCGAAAGGCCAAGTGGTTTATGGAAGCTAGACCGGAAGGCAGGCGACCTCGTGGCAGGCCGAGACACACTTACCATGATAATATTGGAAAACTGGGCACAGCAGGAGGACGCACCATCCCAGACTATCCAGGGACAGAGACCAGTGGGCAAGATGGGATGGGACTGCAGCTCCACGTTTAACGGCACAAAGGATCTAGAGAAAGAAGAAGAATTCAATGAAGTTTTCCTTTGTGAAATCCTGACATTATCCACTTACAATTAATGTGATAGCTTTTGAACCATCTATGACAGGCAATGAAAATCTCATAATTTCATTTTAGTAAACTTTAAAATGGAAATAACAGTTTAATAACTAATAGGTGTACTATCCATAATCATTTATAGGTTGAATATACATTTGTACTTTCAAATCTCTCTAGATTATATATATATATATATATATATATATATATATATTATATATATATATATATATATATATAGCACAGAGACTGGAGTTATGTGGTTTACAAAAACAGGTGGACAAATGAGGTTTTTATTGCCTACCAATGATATAATTAATAGAGTTTTTGTTATTTTAATGGTCTTAAAGATTTGTTAGCTGTAAGCTTTAAGCCATAGTTCCGTTAAAAATGCAATTCAAAAATCTTATAATTGTTCAACATTGCCAGAAAATAATTTCTATTCAAAGTAGAGCGGTAAGTGAAAGTTGTATGTTGTGTACACCAGTTATTTTTGTTTACATAATTAACTGCACATGAGTATATCAAAGACGGATATATGCCATTTTAAAAATGCAGAGAAAAAGTGAATTTTTGTTTTGTACGTTCAACTCAAACTGTTTCTGATGATTTTATCTAAGAATGTTCAAGTTGAATCATTAAAAAAATGATTAGAATTACTTTAAATTGAAGCTATGTTACAGAAAATTGTTTTTTTCAACTTTTTGTAAATGATAAATATCTGTCTTTGATATTAAACCACTCAGATGACTGTTAAGTCAACCCATAAATAATAATTTCCATAAAACTATCAATTAATTACTTATTGATTGTATATTTCAAATATATTATTCTGAACATGTATAGGAATTAAGTATTTCTATATTTTATTCTAAACTAAAAAAAAAATAAGAAGAATAAAATGAGATAAAATTAAAATACAAAATAAAATAAAATTAGTTTTTAAGTTAACTTTTATTTTATTTAAGAAATAGTTTTGTATTTAAAAAACAATTATTAAATATGGTATACAAATTAACACTTTTTTTTTTTCTCCCCTTCCTCATCTTTTATGCTATATGGGGTTTTCCAGGGCCAGGTGGTGAGAGCAGGGGATTAATGCCAGAGTTAAAAATCCCACTGGCACCAGGGATCGAACTCGTACTTATTCTGTTCAGATAACTTCGGTTATCAAGTTGCGGGACAACGCGCAGTGCTATGCAAATGCGTTAGCCCTCTCAGCCACAACATCCATTATACAAATTAACTTTTAGACAAAAAAAAAAAACAAAATAGCAATTTTAATTGGCATTAAAAATTAATTTTGGAGCAGAAGAATAGGTGAACCCACATAATCTCCCCCTCTAATCAATAGAGACCCCGAAATCTTGTATTTTCATCTCGATCCATATAAATGAGTTAAATATTGCTCAATACAGCCCTTATACAGTCAATAACATTAACACTCCTTCAGTAATATTGAAAGAGCTTCAATTAAAATAAACAAATTTTATATTAATGAGTTTGATTGATGTCAATATAAATGTTCCAATGTATTAATTATTTAGTCAATATTTTAATGAAATTTGATATTGACTCAATGATATTGATAATTGAAGAACCACTTCAGAATTTTTTTTTTTTTTATGTTTTTCAGAAATGGGATAAAGAATTGGCTGATGAGGCACAGAAATGGGCAAATGAATGCAAATTTACGATAAACGACAATAAAGGTAAGTTATATATATATATATATACGTAGTGCATACTAATTTATTTTTTCTCTTTCTACCAATGAAGTCTTTTCACAATTTATTTCCCTGAGTCCAGTGGCAGTCCCTCTCCCACTCCCCCATTTCAAAATCGGTCCATCCCATTCTTCAATGTATACTGAATTAATTTTACAATTATAACTACCAATTATCAATTATACACTGATTACAATGTAATCAAAACATATTTCATGAAATTAAGTGCGGTGGTTTTAAAACAATTTACAAACAGGCTGAATCTAAAAATAAATAATTATTTAACATCTGAAATAAGATAACTGGCATGAATTAATTCTCTCTCGACATTTTGGGAATATTATTTACAGCGTCACTATGAGACATTGTGGACGTCCATCATGGAAAGCAGAGTGCCTCCGGGTAATGACATCAATCTTCCCAAAAAATAAAATTTATTTTTCAAGCTGTTATATATTACGTAATATTTAAATTGTAGTTCATCCAATTTTTCAAAATTAGTTGATTGCAAAAAATATTATTAAGCAGGAAAAAGATAAAAATCTTGGGCAGCAGAGCTTTAAATAACAGATGAAAACTGATTTGCTTCATTAATGCATACCATAGTGGCTGACTTTCCATTCTAGTTGGTTGGAGGGAGGGATTAGAGCCCTCTCCCCCAAATAAGTCTCAGGAGTTTATATTATGCATACAAATTATGAATGTTAATTAACATGATTATTGTAAAATGAACAATATAATACTATGACATATATAAAAAATAAGTTTTTATATATGTTTATATATTATGATTTTTTTTGTAAGGGTATATTTGAAAATATGTTGACAAAGTCATTCTATATATTACATATTTTTATTTAAATGTTTGAGGCAGTGAGATGAACTCTCAATTTTCTGATTCCTTAACTTTGCCAAGGGAGATGTGATAAAATCTTCGAGTAAAAATGGAAGGGTGCTCATGAATGAACATAAAATCTTAGGATATGTTGCTGCATATAATTATCTATGAATATAAAAGAAAATTTTAACAATAAGAATATCGGGCGTGGTAAAATACTGGCGTACCTACTTCAAGGCCTTAACGCTAAGCTAGATGTTCTTACATCTAGTTGACTTTTCCTATTTTCTTAAATGATTGTATTTTACATAATTCATTCATTCATGTGCATTAATTTGTATTGATATTGATTTTATTTTTATTCTTCAAAATATTGGGAGGGAGAGACAAATGATTTTCTCATCTCTTCTCTATTTTTATCGAGGAAGTAATCTCTGGATTCAATTTCTTTCAAAATTATGTAATAAGGTATGCATCATTCATTGTGAAGAAAAACTTTTGTACATACAAGCTTACTTTTATAACATACAGTGGCAGAATAACCTACATTTTACAAATCTGTATAATTTTATAAATCTGTTCATTTAGTTGAACTACTCATTGCTCAAATTGTATAACTGTAATTTACATGTATTCTGCAGTTCAGATTGTATTATTTTTTATCAACATAAAATAAACAGAACGAAACCACGGTTTAGACAAATTTTTAATTTCTTTAAAAATCGATATTATACATTGTGCCTTTTTGCCAATTTATATAATTATATAATTATAATGACTGCCAATTTGTAACCATAATAAGGGAGAAATAATTTGGGAATAAGAAGTATGGTATCTGTATGTGTAAAATAAAATATGCCGTGGTCACTAAAAACTTTTTTCTATAATAGAGAGAAAGTGAAACTTTAAACAGATCAAAATTCCTGCTTGTCTGAGTTTTTGATATGGCGGACTTTGACAAGCTGAAGTCGAATGTAAATAATCATTAATGTTGAGAAAATTCTCTCAAAAAAACGCTTTCATAATAATGTAATTTAAAAATTTTTTTTCTATAAGTTTATTGATCACTTGGTTTCACCATGAAACTTTATACAAATGATGACAAGTCACTTAGTTAGTTATAAATTATTATTATATAATTTTGATTATGATACATCAATTATATGTTCATTTTAAGCATATCAATATGGAGAAAACCTGGCTTCATATACCACTGCCAAAAAACCGAAAGTTGATGTGGAACACTTGGTCCGGATATGGTTTGATGAAATAAAAAACTATAATCCAGAGGCGCCAGTTGACCAATACAATGCAGGATACTTCACTCAAGTACGTTAATTTATTTAAAGTTTCTAATTAATTAAATGTATGAAGTGCTCCCATGCACCTCATACCACTGTCAGTTTTGCTCTTCAACCTTGTGTTAGAGTCTGCATTGTGAAATAAGAACAAATCTAGATGGCACCATTTTCAACCACTTAACATATCATCTGGCTTTTGCAGATGATGTGGTAGTCTAAGCAAGAAAAAATAATTGTGATGAAATGTGGTAGTAAAATAATAAACAGAAATTTTAATGTGTATATATTATATATTTATAATATTATACATTTTAAATTAAAATATTAGAACTACATTAAGTTAGATTCCACTAAACTACATTATCTAGGTATAAATGCCTATAGTGGCTGCATTAAAAAAATAATCATAATTATAAAATTTTACAGTTCATCTGGGCTAATACAAAATTTATTGGCTGTGGAATTTCTTCATATAGAGATGAAAGAAATAAAGTATCACCTTATAAAACCATGCTGATCTGCAACTACAAACCACCGTAAGAGTAAAAATTTATATTTATTCATTTCAGCTAAAGTATTAGAGTATTAGTTCATATCATAACAAAAACAGGTTTTGTATTTACAAGAACCATTTTACTTTATCTGGAAAACTATATTAATTATAGTGAAAAATTGTTTTTCTATATTTTCTCAGTTCATAAGGTTTAGAATCTTCTTAGTTATGACCAGTGGTTAAGGATGCTTATATAGCAATTCTAGGGAAGTTCTTCGTATTTACAGTTATTATTACTTTTTTCTTACTTTCCTTGATATTCCTTACTTTATATGAAATATAGAGTAATGAAAAATATTGTGATCATAAAAAATATTGAATCCGAGTTTTCAACAGAAATGCCTCCTGATTCCAAATAACCAAGTCTCACAAATTGATCGGTGTGTGTATATATATAAAAGTAGCTTAGGTCAAAAACGGCTCTAACAATTTTGATTAAACTTGTTTTTATTAATGTACAATTAAATAGCCTTTATTATCAGCTAGGACGTTATCACTTGGTCAAAGCAATTAAATAAATTAAATTAAATTAGATCCATCCATAAAATCCAATGATTCTACATAAAAAAATTTTAGACATATGTCCCCACATTCATCCCAATGGGCCTTAGGATCCGAGACAAAAAAAATTTCGTATATTTTCAAAAAAATGTATGTTATTTCCTTTTGCCTCGGTTTCTATGGATTTCTTTTAAGACTCTTAAATACGACTTTTTGTAGAAAATACAAACTTTAGTACTTGATTTTCTTTGAGGATTTTTTCTCTAACTGTTAACTAAAGCATTCTCAACTCCTTAAGATTTTTTTCAAATTCAACCTTAATACAATTAGACCAATGGGCCTTTGTATCCAAGAAATTTTATTTCCTTTTGCCTAGATTTCTAAGCTATTATAAACCAATTGATTTCTTTTTTCTTTCAGAATAAGGAAGATTATTGCTGATAGTATAAACTGAGTTACAATGTAACATAAAAAACCAAAACCAAAAGACCTTTCCAGTAAAGTAGGTCAAGCAAACTTGTGTTGTGAAAAAGCAAGTTATATTTCTTTATAGAAAAAAAACAAAACAAAAAAAAACATGTACCACTACAACCTATGAAGGGTCTTGGGTTCAGTACTATTTATGGAAAGTACTGTTTCCAGGCCTACGTTTGTGCAGGGAGGGAATCGGGCCAGGATCAAGTTCAACCATCAGGTTTCTCCTCTTAATCAATTATTTAATTGAGGGTACCCACTTTATAGAGGCTGGGTGTGCCCCAGGAGGGTCTCACTATCCCAGGTTCGCCCCACGGCTAATGAAACAGAATAAATAATTTTCTGCCATGAACCTGGACCCTTGAGGACCAGAAGCTTAGTGCCCTACCACTAAGCTACCCTGCTCTCCATACATTTTTATAGAAACAAAAAAAAACTGTAGTACTTGATTTTCTTGGACAATTTTTTTTCTGGCTGTCAACTAAAGCATTCTTAACTCTTCAGAATTTTTTCCAAATTCTACATTAATACAATTGTTTGAAAACTAAATTAGTGCCCTTCCAACCCATATCGATAAATTTTAGTTTTTATTTATTTTTAAAGTAGAAATAAAGAAAACCTGAACACCTGCTCTTTTGGTACCTTTCCTATAGAAGGAAATAAATTAAACAGTGTAAAATTTTAAAATTTGATTATGATGTAAAGGAGATTTAAATAGACTTAACGATGCAAAATTTTGTTGTCTTTTGAGGGCAACTGTACCTAAAGTAGATCTTCTAGACTTGTCTATTATCTACAGAACTTCCAAAAATTTGAATAAATTAAAAATATAATTATGAGCATTTAGGGTAAGCGCACCAGGGACGGGAATAGCTAAGAATCGTTTTGTCTTTTTTGGCCGATACCGCTGTAATTATTATAGTTATAAACTTCTCCGTTGGATATTTATAATCTCTAGGGTCTCCTTTTTCTATTTAACGATTTAAAATTGAAAAAAAACCATACAGTTATGCAGGTATAATCTCCATTAAAAAAAAAACACCTTTTTGCACTAGTGATGGACACTCTAAAATTCAATTGTTCTAGTAATTGACAGAGAGTCAGTACCAGTAATAGACGTACCTCAGAAAAATTTTTAAATCTTTATTTGACTAAAAATATAACGGTAAGATAACATAAATGTTCAACTCAATTTTAGAAAAACTGCTAGTAAGAAGGTATGCAACACACTGATCTCAAAAGCAAGCAATTTAGATACAACAATGATTGGCATTTTAAAATTTTCTTTAGGAAACTTTGTTTATACTCTTGTTAATAGAGGGCATTGGTCTTCAATCTAGAAAAAACTGGAACCTTTAAATCAATATGGAAGCCTATTATTTACATTTAAAGTCCAACATGCCCATAACTGGTACGTTCACCTTAATACATATAAAATTGAAACATAAATGAAAGGATGCTAGCTTCAGAGAATACAGATTAGAATCCAAATTAATACAATTGTTTGTAAGCTAAATTAGTGCTCTTCCAATCGATATCAATAAATTTTAGATTTTATTCATTTATAAATTATAAATAAAGAAAACCTTCATTTTTATTTTATATTTTTGGTTCTTGTTTCTAATTTGTGTAGTCTAAGGCTCCTAAATCCCTGAAAATTTTATATTGATCAGTTGATTCCTCTTGAAGTTATCATAATTTGAATATTTCAATAAAATTATAAGGTAAACGTACTAGACAAACATTTGCCTTAAAAAAATTAGTATTTCAGGAATATTTGAGCCACAGAAAATTAATATCAATCTTTTTTTTCATTAAAAATTTATACAATAAAACCAAAGGTATAAAATGATTTTTATTCAATGGAGTAAGGTAAAGGAAAGTTGAATGATGCACTCACTAGTTTTTTTTTTTTGTGGAGGATTAGAATCCTGAATTTAACGGTTAAAAGTACTGACAATATTTACCAATCGTCATCATTTAGCCATATCAAAACATTAATTCCTCACAATTGATGTAATGATTAATTGAATCTGTTTTTAAATAAAAGTGGCAACCATCCTGATGAAAAGCCTTACGAGCCTTTTGACAGGATTAGGTGTGAAAGAGGGACAGAATCTAAAGTGTACACAGCCCTATGCGGTAAGTGTTATAAAAATTAATTAATTTTAACCATATTCCTTAAACCACCATGTGCAAATAAATTGAATACGCTTGCTTAATAATAACAGTAATTATTCAGCTATTAGTTGAAAGAAAAAAGAAGCTTGATTGCTAAACCAGATGAACACTTGTTCTTGTGGTGTATTTTCTACAAAAGAAAATAAATTAAACAGTCTAACACTTTGATTTTGATCTATGAGAGATTTGAATAGGCTAAACAAAGCAAAATTTTGTTATTTTTTTAGGATAATAGGTAGCTAAGACAGATCCTTCTAGACTTTCCTATTAACTACAGAGCTGCTTATAATTTTAAAAATTTGGATGGTCTCAAGATCCTGAGATAAAAAAAAAAATGGAATAAACTTAAAATATAATTATAAGCACTTTTACATATATAATTGAAACAGAAATGAAAGGATGCAGAATTCAGAGAAGATAGAATAGAATTTACAGACATCCATCTCTTGATAATCATATCAAAAAGTAATGCTGAAGAGTGAATAGAAGACTCGATAAAGTTAAGAACGCATGCAATAAAAAGGACATTGATTCAATATAAGAAAATGGATTGGTTTCTGGAAATTAAGAAGCATTATCAACCAGTCAATTCATGCAATATCAACTAAACTTTAATACCATATGGCAATACTCTTTAAATAAAAAGTTTTAGTAAGCCAAAAAGAAATTACAAAGAGTATTACAGTAATCAGAGGAGTTGAAAGTTGGTCAACTATTTCATGTTCTGTTTCTAAAAAATTATCAAGAATCTTTCTTCGACAACCATAGTTATGAAATTAAACAATAAATCATAAATAAAATTTTAAATAAAAAAAAAGATCTAACACCATAAAATTAAGATAAAATTAAAATGTTTTTTTTCTTCCTCCCACTCATTCCTCAATACAGGAGAGAATCACTTTATTTTCATAAAAGAGTGCTCCCCAATTATATTGGGTTGCTACAAACACAGCACACTTATCAATCATAATTAGACAATTCTTAAAACTAATATATATAAATAATATAATAATTGATAATATTGTATATAAATATACAATATTATCAATATATATGAGCATAGTAATCAATTCTTTTTTTTTTCTTCTTTTTTACAATTTCTTATATTAATATTCTATTTTCCTTTCTCTACCTTCTCTTCCCTTATAAATTTCTCTTATTCCTCCTCAGATTTTCTCCTCTCTCTTCCTAATAATAATTTAAATAATAGCAGCTTCCTGAACAAAAACTAAAATTTATGCACCTAAATCAGTTAATTAATACAACAGCTATTATTCTTACAGCTCATGATGGGGAACACAGTCGTGGAAAATACATACCATGTTCTGGCTACAAGCTACAACCTACAGCAATCTTCTTCACCGTTTTCCTTTTATATAGCTATTATTACTATAAATTTTGAAAAATATAAAATAATAAAACTGTTAATAAATGAGTTTTTCTTGTTTAAATTGTAGATTTTTCTCTGTCTGCCAAGACTCACAACTTTCTTCAATAAGACCAGTCTTATTAGGAGTTTCTCAGGGGTCAGTACTCGCTCCACTTTTATACATCATATACATACAGAACATTGCTAACTACACCAGAATAATTATAGCGACTTACCCAGACGATACAGCAATTCTAACAAGACATAAGAATCCAACACACAGCTCACAGACTTTACAACATTATCTAATAAAACTAAACGATTGTTAAGAACTTTGGAAAATTTGATTCAACCAAGACAAGTCACTTTCACTCTTCAACATGAAACATGCCCTCCTATTTACTTTGACAATGCCGAAATTCCTCAAACAGATAAAATACAATATCTTGGACTGACATTCAACTGAAGAATGACATGGGGCCCAAATATCAACAAAAAAAGAAAAACGTTAAACCTCAAACCACGACTGTTATCTTCACTTCTCTCAAAATGCTCAAAATTAAACCTACAACAAAACTGAACACTTACAATTACCTACTTAAGCCCATATGGAGCTACGCTTTACAAATTTATGGAACAGCCAAAACGGCCCACATTTGAAAACTACAAACGTTTCAATCAAAAACTTTCAGAACCAAAACTAAAGCTCCATGGTACGTCACAAACATTACTTTACATAATGACTTAAGACTGGATGGAGGATTTCCTCGCTTAAAAAGATGCTAAATTCAAGATAGGAGGGGATGCAGCTGGGCACTTCTCTCCATCATGCCGATCAAGCCACTACCTGTACTCTCACCGACGGCAGATCCCCTAATTGTCATTGCTTATGACAGGTGCGCGTGACAAAATGAAGGTAAAAAAAAAGTTGATTAATGATGGAGTAATTAGACGGCTAAAAGGGAAAGATGAAATTAATAAACTTTAATTAGCGTCAATTAGAAAATATTATTGAATGTTTTGAAAATTTGGGGGTTTAGTTTGACCTGGATAAATAGATTTTAAGTGATACCTTTAGAAAGTTGTCAGTGCGGCATTACTTCCTTTCAAATACAAGGGATTTACATTCAACCAAGACTTTGGAATGTCCTAAGTGGAATCTAAACCAGTATCAAGGATTTTTCGGGAGTTCGAGCATAGTTGTCCTGCATTTGAGAATTTTTAAAGAGATTTGGAGCAGTTTCAGTCTATATGATTGAAGTACTATTACCTGTTTTAAGAAAAAGGAAAAGAATAGAGTGTTTCTACATTAAAGGAAATGGAAAATATAGAATTATTTTGGTAGGTAGAAGTATAAAAGCTTTTTGGGAAAGTAGTCGAAGGATCTGGGAAATGTGGAGATCACATCCAAAAACTTTTCAGACTTTTAGTACATTTATTAGGCTTTTAGTACATGACCTCATAGGTGTTGAAATCATATAATATTAAGGAAATTACTGATCTTGTTTTCTATATCTATATCTTTATTTATAAAAAATAATAAAATACTTTTTAAATGATTTTTACCCAGAGATACTAAAGTGAAAAAAAAAAAATGTAAAGATATTTCTTCTACAGACTCTATCAAAGGTTAAGTTCTTGGTTTTACGTCTAGTGTCAGTTCACAGAAAAGACAGTATTTGTAAGAGTAATAGATTTGGATTTAAAATTGATTGGCAGACCTCTTGCATTTTTCCCAACTTTGATAGGCCAACTATTACTTTTATTTAATTTTAAGGTTTCATAATGCCTTTTTAAGATGTAAGTTTGATGAATGGCAGCACTTTCAGCCAATGTTGCCAGAAATGTATCAGAATAAGTAGGAATATCTGGGGTAAAAAAAAAGTAAAGAATATTTTTTTTTAGCCCATACACTTTGCAAATTTGTTAACAATAGGAAAATTCTATACCACGGGAAACCCACTAGAAAAAGTGGGAAAGGTCAGATCAAAGCTTTAGTAGCAACAAACAACAAAAGGGCACTATAACTTTATACCAGATGTTAAACTTACGGGCAAACAAATTCTAAACACATGGAAAAATTCTTAATTGAATATAAATAAAGAAAATTTCATTTAAAACAGTTTAATTCGATGAACTTTGATATGTGACACTGCGTCAGACAAACAATTCATCATATTCTTTATGACTTCCCTATAGTAAAATACATCTATTAAATTGACCATTAAAAATAATAAAACTATGAAATAAATTACATGGCTACCATATATTAAACATTTAATTTGAAAATTTTATTACTGACTGTAAGCTATTTCTTTTAATGAATATAACGTATAATTGAGTTTGAATGAACTGTGCTAGCAAAATATCTTAAAATATAAAATAAAAGAAGAGCAAGAGAAGGCCAATTAAAAAGTAAAATCTTAAGATTCTTCCTCCTCTCTGTGTAATAAAAGACACAAAGTACTATCAAATATATATAGCCATAATTGTGGGTTGATGGTTGACTGTATTGAATAATGAAGAGAAGGATAGTTGGGTAATCAGTCAAAATAAAAATGGCAAAAATAAATAAATAAAAATAAATATTATTATTTATTTTTGCCATTTTTATTTTGACTGATCACCCCAACTATCCTTATCTTCATATATAGCTATAAAATGAATTTTTTATAAAGTCTTTAAACTGTTTATAAAGTTTGTTTAAAAGATTTCAAAAATCTATTTAAAATAAGATAAAATATCATAACTGCTCTCGCTTTCATATTAATAACACATAGTCATATTTATAAAACATGGTTATATGCTTAAAATTTGTTATTTGATTTATTAGGAATTTGATTAATTAAATACTGTGCAAAAAAAAACTTCCATTTATACCAGGTATATAAAAATAAAACTGGAATATTCATAAATGATCATAGTTGTTAATGTAGTTATTGTTAAACCACACAATTGGTGCTATTTTGTTTCTTCCACGGTTGGTGAAGATTTTCAACTCGCAAGTTTCATATAACAGCATCAATTTAATTGTGTTGGATATGTCAAGTTTTGTGTATACAAACTATGATTTGCGAACAATATTAGTTTTCATCATTATCATTGAAAGAAAACTGCTGCAGAATCATAAAATGCTTGTCGAAGCTTATGGTGAGTATGCTTCCTGTAAACCATGGTGCATGAGTGGTTTCATAAATTTCTAAAGCCAATTTTGAGGTTAGAAATGAAGAACTTGGAAGTGATCTTATAGGAGAGGCTAAAACCTGGCAAAACCATTAATACTGAATCCAATAGACAGCAAATGATTGATTCTAATGGAGTATTGCATACAAAACAACCAGAATATCAAAAAAGAGAATACAAAGTGATTTTTCGTCATAATAAAGAACCAACACACACACAAACTTCAGTAAAAAAAAATTATTGAGGCAATCAATTGGAAAATATTAGCGCATTTAGTTTACTTACCAGATTTGGCTCTGTTCGACTACTTGCCTGTTCCACTATTTATTTGCATCAATAGAGCATGCACTTGCTCTGTAAAGCTTCACTTCATCTTAAAATGTATGAAAAAGAGCCTTGATGACGGGTTCACCAAAAAAGAGCAACAGCTTTTGTAGAGATGGGAAAAAAAACGTACAGCTAGTGATGGACAATATTTTTAACATATTTAACATTTTAGCTTCATATTTACACACCTGGTTTATAATTTTATTTTTATAAATCAAATCCTTATATTATCTTCTCTGAAATTAAATTTATTAATGTACTAATATACATTCATAAATAACTTTTTTAAAAATTAAAGTCCATTTTTATTAATTTACTGATTTCTGTGATTGCCTAGAGACTATATCTAATCCTTAGGCAAGTAATTTACTGAATATAAAAATAGTTATTGTAACGTATTTCAACAACATTCAAAAAAACATTTTTACCGTCACTTACCAGTATTTTAATTATATGATAAGAGGAAGTATTGTGATCATGACAAATTTTGAAACCAAACTTTCAATGGATTTACGGCAGATAAGAATTCCAATGAAGTGAAAATCTTAATTTCAAGGCTTGATTTCCTCAGGTGAACTAAGAAATTTAATAGAAGAATTAACATACAAAAAAAAGAAAACAATACATTAAATTACAAATAGATTCTCTTGAAAAAAAAATGAAAATTACTTCTTAACAATAAATAAATAAGAATTAATTGTTTATTCCTTAGAACCTGATAATAAGGAATGAAGATGGACACCAAGTGGTCACAGAAACAGAGCTACAAGAACACTGGAAGAAATACTTTCAGACACTCCTGAAATCTGAGCGTAGTGTTGAAGTCACGAAGCCAGCAAATTATGCGAGTTTTAGCAATGGGAATGAAGATATTCCATCAGAAAAATAGAATACTGAAGCTATTTTGGAGAAGCTAAAAAGCAACAAGGTTCCTGAACCAGATGAAATACATGCAGATTTTTTAAAAGTGTCTAATATGCCATCTTAGCTAGTGAGATACATAGCCTAATCTCACACATTTGGCAAGGAGAAAGGATGACGAGGAGTCAGAAGCAAGGTAACTTAGTCCCTGCCTCGCCTTTTAGGCTTTACGGGATTTTCCCGGGCCGGAGGGTGAGGGTGAGGAATTTAAAATCTGGCACCGGGACCCGAACTCGTCCTTTTTTTAATCTCATATTCAGGTCATCTGGTTGCCTGGCAACTGGTGGTGCTGTGCACACGTGTTAGCCCATTCGGCCACCCCGCCCTCTGATGATACACTTTGCACTCATTTTTTGGTTTATTTCTTTAAATAATGATCCTTTATAATCGACTGAAGAAAAAAAATAAGCATTCCTCCCCCTCCCAAAAAAAAACATCACTGCATTTACTTATTCCCATATTACATTATCATTTACTAATAACGTCTTCTTGTGTAGTTTATTTTCTTTGTCAACTACTTAGGTATTATGATGTTTATCAGGCTAATTCTAATACAATAATCGTGATGGTTCTTCTCTCTTGGTAGCCAACTGAGGACAAACCGGTTGAAACCCGTAGCAAAAGAGAATAAACTACACAAGAATACTTTTTATTTTAGTAGACCTACTCCTGTAACACATATTCTCAATACAACAATAAAATATTACCTTAAGAACATGTATCCCCTGATTTGGCGTGCTCTTCATCATGAGCTGTAACATACACATATATATATATATATTGTAATATACACCTTTATTGGAAGTGAGTAAAAAGGGTTTAGTAAACTAATGTTTAACAATTAAAAGGCAAGCTAATCTAGTTCTACTAGTGCAGAGAAAAGCAAATGGCTGCTCTGTAGTTTCCCAAGAAGGAAAATCCCAAAGAGGAGAGGGACAAAGGTCTTTGTTTTGGCAAGCAGTTGTTGTGGGACTGCAGTGAAGAAAGGTTATATATAAAGAGAATATATCCTATTCTGGCTCCAGTGGGTAAAACCCAGTAATAGTTTTACCATCTTAGAAGATCTTGTTTGGCAGGGAGAATAGTTGTTTGGAATTGCAAGAGAGAGGATTTCCCAGGGAGCTTGAGTTAAGTAGATGAAAGTGTTACCAATTTGGAAGAGTTGTTTGGCAGAACTTTGGAAAGTGTTTGAAGACAAATGAATTCAGTGCAACAAAGGAAGAAACAGTATATATAGAAAAAAGGTTAGCTTGACAATCTATATTTGACTTAATTATAAAATCAGTGTTTAATTTTAGTGTAAATAATAATAGTTTGTCTGAGTTGATCTGATCGTAAGTAACCCACACCTCAGATAAATAAATATATTAATACTCTTATAATTTTGTTTGTTATTTAACAACCTCTTATTTCTTTTGGAAGTATCCTAAGGGTATAAAGTGATCTTCTGAGGTTATATGATTATTATTTTAAAATATAAGAGGTATGTTATAATATATATAAAAAAAATTGAACTTTATATCTATCAAATAACTAAATTTAAAGTGTTGTTAATGATAAAATATAATAATAACGAAATAAACAATATATAAAGGAAGAATTCTCATTTATTTACATTCAAAGCCAGTGGTTTCCAAAGATTACCTCAGGATATAACACAATGATATATATATATATATATATATATATTAAATAGAATATCAATTTACACAGAACATTGAATACCCTTATCATTTTAACTTATTAAATCTTTTTAAATCCACCAATGGCTTACTTCATGTCAATGAACAAGTTTCGCCTAGCAGTCTTCAATGTAATCTCAAATTTTAAAGATTAAAAGGCTTTTATAATAGTGATCAAAGTTCCATAGTTATCTTTGATAACTATTAGTTGATTCTGACAAATAACAAAAAATAATTATTGAAGATTGAGAGCTATAAACTTAAAAGAAATACAGTGATATATCGCTACTGTTAGTGCAAAAGGTCGTACATACAATTTTATATGTTTATTCTTTTCGCACTAAAGGTGACATTGTGTAGTCTGCAATTGGTGTTAGAAGTCTGCTAAACAGGAAAACAATAAAGTATGAAATTATACTAATAAATCATAAAGAAATAATTGGTTCCTACGCTCTTTTGTAAAAAAAAAACTCAACTTTTTCATACGACATTTTGCACTAACATTAACGATATATAAAATATATATAAGGCAGTACAAATATTTATGATATATTACTTAGGTTCAAATAGCCCATCAACAAGTAAATACCCAATGGTAGATAGTCATGTGAACATACAATAAAAAAAAAATAAAATAAAAAAAAGAGAATAGGTTCAGAATTATCTAGCACTGTTTCTTGGTCAATAGTTGTGGCAAGGAGGTGATTTGACCGAGATCACGCTTAACTGCCAATTTTTCTCCCTTAATTAATTATTTAATTAAGCGTACACACTTTATAGAGGCTGGGTGTTCCCCAGGAAGGTCTCCTGACCCCAGAGTCGCCCCACGGCCAATGAAACACAACAAATAATTTATTTTCCATGAGCCGGATTTCGAACCTGTGACCTTGAACTACCCCACTCCCCCTGTAAATATATAATAATACATATAAATGGAATACTAAATAACTCTAAAATAAGTATATAAGTATCATTTAAACAAAATTATCATTACCACAAAGGCCTTTATACAGTTGAGAAGAAACTCCAACATCACAACTTTTCGAACCATTAAGAAATTTATCATACATGTGGGCACCGGCTAAATTTCCACTGTTAATTAGCAAAAAAAATATATATTAATGCTCAAATTTTTATAAAATGTATTTGGGAAAGCTATTCCTAATCGATTATGTTCTGAATGTTTGGAAATTCGCACTCATTAGATAGTTCAGTATGAGCCACTTGACAAATATAATGCATACAATGTTAAATCTTTATGATATACAACAAAGAATTGTTTTATATTAGCTTGCATCATTGAGGTAAGAAAAAAAAAATATAGAAATAGAAATAGAAATAGAAATAGAAATAGAAAAATAACTTTATTCTGGGACACAGTCCCTTGAGAATAACAAAATAGAACAAAATTAAAATATTACATCTGGCCAAAATAAAATAAATCAAAAAAAGAAATAATGTGAAAAAAATATAAGGTAAAAATTCTATATACAAAACAAACTAAACTATATACAAAACCATTAATACTATGACAAGAAACTTAAAGCTATTTGCTCTTATAGACCAGTATACACTTTTCCGAAAAAAATAAAGAATTAAAAAATAAAAATGTATCAAATTCTCTATTGAAATCCGCTCGAATGGTTAGCAAGTATCTGACTGTTTTTGTGATAGGAATTGGAATAGGAGGGATTTGAATGTGGATATGGAGGGGGAATGTCGAATTTTGATAGGGAGGGAATTCCAGAAATTGACAGAGCGAACAATAAAGGAATTTTGGAATGAGGCAGATCTGTGAGAAGGCATGTAAAGGTCAGAAGGTCGAGATCTTGTGGACAGGGAATGGACTGAGGATTTGAACTGGAGAAGGTTGTAGGCGTAAGAAGGACAATGGTTGTTGATGATTTGGTAGAGGAACGTACCTAGAAAGTATTGTCTTCGGAAGGAGGGGAAGAGCCACCTTAACTCAGTGTAGTGGTGGGAGACATGGGAGTACCTCGGGGCACCAATAACAAATCTTACGCAGCTATTCATTAATCTTTTCAGTCTATCACGGAGCTCCACCGAGAGGCCATCATACACCACACAGCTGTAGTCAAAGTGGGGGAAGATGAGAGAGGAAATTAGGAGTCTACGGATATGTTGAGGTAGGAGATGGCGGAAGCGATGAAATAGTTTAAGGGTAGAAATTGTCCGACGGGAAATGTGAGAAATATGGTAGGTCCAGGAGAGGGTTTGATCTATGAAAAATCCTAAATTTTTAACAGAGGAGTAGAAGGAAATTGGCTGGTCATTAAGGTGTAATATGGGAAAGTCAGTATGGGATCTAATGAGGGGCTTGGAACCAATGACAATGGCCTGAGTTTTGGCAGCATTTAACTTTAATCCATTTACATTTGCCCAGGCATTGATTCGATCAAGGTCTTCTTGAATCTTGGCAAATGCCCCCAGTAACTCTGAGGGAGAAAAGGATAGGTAGATCTGGGAATCATCTGCATAAAGGTGATGGGAACAATGGAGAATTGATTTAGGTAGGTCGTTAATGTAGGAGCTGAAAAGGAGAGGAGATATGCTTGAACCCTGGGCAACTCCAGAGGATAAAGAAAGGAAAGCAGATAGTGGTTGGTTGGGTATGGAGACTGCTTGGGTGCGTTGGGAGAGGAAAGATTGGAACCAAGAGATGGAACTATTGGAGAAAGATAATGATTTTAGTTTGTTGAAGAGGATGGAATGGTTGATGGAATCGAAAGCTTTGGAGAAGTCTAGAAGAATAAGGACAGTTAATTTTCTATCATCTATTGCAGATTGAATGTCGTTGGTAATTTTAATTAAGGCAGATTGTGTGGAATAGCCGGGACGAAAACCAGATTGGAGAGGATCAAATTGGTTGGACTTTTCGAGGAACTTGGAGGCTTGGGATTGCACCAGTCTTTCAAGAGGCTTTGAGAGGTTAGAAAGAATTGAAATTGGACGGAAATCTTCGGGTGAGGATGGATTAGGCTTTTTATTTAAAGGAAGGACAATGGCTTTTTTCCAAGAGGTAGGGAATACTGAATTCTGAAGGGAGAAATTGTAGATAAAAAGGAGAGCTGGGAGGATTTCAGGTAGACATATTTTTATTAATTTGACAGGAATGCCGTCAGGCCCTATGGAATTGGTGTGGGATTTCATTACCATAAATGTAATATATATAAATGTAATATTGAAGCAAAACAGTCAAGAGTCAATTCCTGACAAATCCCCATGCTAACCATAGGTATTGCAAAATAAATCCATTAGTAAACAGTAACTGAGTAATTTTTATCACTGAATTTAACAAAATAATATTAAATTTTTGGTTGCTCAATTTCTTTTATTGGTGTGTCAGCCTATTTTACTTTTCTAGTTCTATTTTCTTCCCATCAATCATATATTAGTAAAACTTTATAATAAAATACTCCAGAAATTGATTGTACGACACCAGATTTTTTATTGTTTATTAAAATTTATAAGGAATAACTTTTTTGTCACAAATCTGTTGATTCAATCAGAGGAGTAAATAAAAGAACTTCAATTTTCATTGCATTATATCAGAATATAACAACAATATACAGTTAAACTTTATTTAAAAAAAATTTTTTTTACATAAAAGGTTGAACATTTGAGTCGACGAGTTTTGGTAAGCAGCGCTGTAGTTTCGTGTGACTGTCACAAAGTGGGCCGGTGTAGAAAAGATGCTAGAATGATTACACTTCTTATTTCTATTCCTTATATAATGTCTGCGAATTTTATTTGATTCATATTTTGAAGTGACGAAGTGTTAAGCAAATGGCCTCTGGTAAGAATTGTAATTAAAATGTTATTGTAAATTGTAATCCAATGATTATTTTTACTTTTATGAAAACAGTCTGAAAGTGTAAGATTTGGTGACTCAAAGTACGATGAAAGAAAAATTTAAGTATATGGGGCACTTGCAAGCTATATTGTTTCTTTCAAAAAATACATATTTAAAATATAATTACTAGACATACTCACGCTGGTCTATAATTGCACACCAACATTGTATGGTATGGATAAGATGGATTGCCTGCCTTATCCAAAAAGTGTGCTATTCCACATCCAACAAACTTGGTACTTCCCCAAATCAACTAAAACATAAATTTTAGTATTTGTTTTAAATATTATTTTTAGAATAATATAAATATTAAAAATAATGTTTTTTATATATAGATGATAAAAGAATCATAATGATTTTATTGGAACTGGATACTAGTAATTAACAACCATACTTAAAATATCAAATATCCTCAGAAATCTGGGATATAAGTGCTATAATTAATATGCCTTAATAACAATAATATAGATAGATAGATCGAAAAATAAATTTATTCAGGAACTAAGTTCAGTACTTGTGAACAGTCTGGTCTCTATTGACTGCTATCTGCCAATGTTTATAACCTGAACACTGATAATTGTGATAAGGCACTGATATAATAACCCCTATCTTCATATGAAATTCAAAAACAAATGTAATAATAACAAAACACTTTTATTTTACAATATATATATATTAATAACGAATATAAATATAATAATAATATTGTAATTTAATAATAAGAAATATAAATAAAAAGAAATATAAATAACAAAATACTTTGATTTTACAACATATATAGAAATAGGAATAGAAAATAACTTTATTTATATTTAGAATAACAAAATAGTATATACAACAGAAATTGGAATAGCAGGGTTTTAAAAATGAATAGGGAAGAAGAATGCCAGATTTTTAAAGATAGGGAATTCCAGAAAGAAGCAGAGTGGACAATGAAGGAGTTTTGGAAAGAGTCAAATCTGTGAAAAGGAGTATAAAGTTCAGAAGGTCGGGATCTTGTGGTAAGAGAGTGAACATTGAATTAAGAGAGTGACTTGAATTGGAGAAGATCATAGGTGTAGGAGGGGCGACGGCTGTTGATAATCTGATAGAGGAATGTGCCTAGGAAATATTGTCTATGGCAGGAGGGGAAGAGCTACCCTAACTCAGCATAGCGGGGGGAGACACGAGAACGTCTCGGGGTCCCACCTAAAAATCATAATATATAAAATATAATGACTATATAACTAATAAATTATAAACTGATATGATTATAGTAATTACAATATTATATTATAATACAATACTATATTTATTTTTCATTTCTTGGCTTTACGCCGGATAAATTTACCAACCTGGACTGAGGACAAATTCAGTTTATTGGATATTTAATTTGAAATATCTAAATTATCACTTTCTGGATTTCCTAAAGTCTCCAGCTTAGTCCAAGTACCTTCAATAATTTCAGAGTTTTAGGGTCTCTTCAGAAATCAAACAATTGCTGGATAATATAATAGGTAGTACTTTTACTTCAGTTAGCTGGTATAATTGCCTTAATTCCTCGCATGGCTCTTGGCACTTTTTTCAGTTAATGCTTTAGTTACATTATCATCAGCAGAAACTCCAACTTCGATGATGATGACTTTCTTTATTTTTTTTATCAATGAGCAGTATGTCTGGCCTATTCTGGAGGATACTATGGTCAGTTATCATAGTTAGATTCCAGTGTAGCTTGACATCCGCTTTTTCTAATATTCTTCTATATCCGTCATCGATTGCTTTATGTAGAATATACTTCCTCTATGAGTATGTTGCCATGAACTGTTCCTGTATCTCCAGAAGGAGTCCCTAGAAACATTTTTCCTCTAGTCAATCAACAGACAGAGGCTTCTAAATTGATATCTGGTGTTTCAAGAAATTTTGAAATCTTCCATGAAGGGGCTTAAAACTTCCATGATTCTGTGAGACTCTTCTTAGTTAACATTGCCGTTGGTCCTTACCTAAACATATTCAGTGCTGTATAGATCCGGTCAAATGCAGCAATTGTCTACAGCAACGATGAATCACTATTCATGAAATATGTCCCAAATCTTACTTCTTTCAATTGCAAAAAATGATCTATGGCGATAAAATAATTTAGTATACCATAGTTGAGCCAATATTTAGAAGAGAACAATAATAGAAATAGAACAAACAAACAAACAACTACTTCTTATGAAGAGAAGAATAGTTGGGGTGGTTAGTCAAAAAGGAAGGCAAAAATAAATGATAATATTTATTATCAAAACATTTATTTTATCATTTATTTTTGCCTTCCTTTTTGACTGACCACCCCAACTATTCTTCTCTTCATTATCCATGACAACCAATTACCAATTATGAACTACTTCTTATGGTTGCCACCTATTGCTAACTACCATAGGAGTATCAATATTCAATTCTTGGGACCGCCATGGATAAATATTAACTGATCAAGATTGGGAACTAAATCACACCCAATCCCTAACCAGGCATCCTGGGATCTTGTACCAACTTATTAGGCTTTTACAAAATCTGGATTTAAGCAAAGAAGACAGCTAAAAGACCATATATTTTTGATAAAAATAATAATATTTTTTTATTTTTTTTTTGTCCTCCCCTTCCTCGCCGTTAAGGCTATACAGGGTTTTCCCGGGCCAGAGGGTGTGGGCGGGGATTTAAAGACGCCTTGGCACCGGGACGCGAACTCGTGACTATTTTTTTATCATTAATCATATATCAGGTTGCCGGGCAACGATGGCGCTGTTAGCCCAATCGGCCACCCCGCCCAAAATAAAAAAATAATAATTGTAAAAACAAGAGATATTTGGATTTCCATGCTAAAATTGACATGGTGCCAAGACAAGAATGCGAAGCAGTCTTTTTCTGAGTATGCTCGAAGACAGTAAATACAAGGAAATGAACAAAGAGATAAAGCTAAGACTGTCTTCCTGCCTAGTACATTTTTTGGGTCGGAAATCAAATACTCTAAAACAACTGGACCATAAATGAAATAACTAAGGAAAATGTTTTTAAAAAATCAACTTGTGCTTTTTAAAAAATAAAAGCACACATGCCACTCTGGGATTAGTTATTGATCCACTATAAGAAAACCTACTGAAATATGTTCATATCTGTAGCTGATCAGAAACTTTCTTTACCAAATCAAATAAAAAATTGACAAAAATTATCCAAAGAATACCTGTGTAAAATGAGCAGTGGTTCCATTCTTTCTACCATAGTTATAATATTCAGTGTACCACATATCCATCATTTCGACGGGATCAAGTGATTTTAAGCTATTAGGGAATGCCTTCATAGCCAAATTTTCACCAGCATCAATAGCTGTTAATAAAAAAAAAAATCAATCAGTAAAATTCATTATATTAAAAGATACCTCCATTTAAAAATAAATTTATCAACACTCCCTTAGAGGTGGATTCAGTGCCATCTGCACTTAAGAAAAACCTGGGCAGATTTGAAAAAAAATGCTGCTTTTACATACTACCCATTGCCTGATTAAAAATATTATATATGTAATGAGTCCAGAGAGAGAGAAACACTTTATTTTCATAAAAATATAAAATATAAAAAATTTCTGCCCAATTACATTGGGTTGCTATATACACAGCATACTCTTTAATCCTTAGGACAATAAATGAACTTATATATAAATATACAGAAGTATTAGTTTATATTAGTAATATATATATATATATATATACATTTTTTTTCTTCCTTTCATTTTTCATGCTTTTTTATTTATTTATTTATTTTTAACATTTAGTTTCCCTTTCTTTCATATCTCTCTCTTTATACCTATTGTTTTCAATTTTTCATTAAATAAATAAATACATAAATTAAACTCTCAGGCTAGCCATGCACGTGGTGGTGAATGATTCCCAGGGAGTCGAGGACTATATTTTCAGCCAACCTCGTTACGTCCTTAATATTGACACCTAGTTCCTCGAGGAAGCTCCTTGTTCTTTTTGGAATTGTTCAGCGAGACCCAAACCAGAGGCCTCTCACAGTGAACTCTCTCTCTCCGAAGGTCCCACAGAATTTCTCTTTTAGGAAAGGGATATATTTATCGTACATGTTCTTCTTTTCCCTTTCCACATCATCCGCCTGATCAAGGTCATTGCTCTCAAAGCCGACAGTTGGATCCAAGATCAGCGCTGTCCTTCCTGTCTTGGGAAATGCGACGATATCCGCGTATCTCGTAGAGCCTTCACTATCGATGCAATATACCTCTTCAAAGCAGGTGAATTTATTTCTCTAAGGAGCCTAATCAACGAGGAGAGAGTTGTTGGGGCATTTTCCCAGCACATAGGCTGGTGTTTCTGACTTCCTTACGGCAGAGGGACCCAACTTCTCTGACCTGTCCGCTGACATCTGGGACTCCACGCAGGAGTGCATAATTAATATTTAGTTTTAGGGCATTCGACCATTCAGACCCAGAAAGTACTTGTTTTTCGTAGATGTATCTGTTCGCTTTCGGGGTCTCTTTAAAATGGCGAGCACCAATACCCTGCCACCTGCAGTTGGCCCATTCCTCAAATGCATTTTCTCGTAGCGACTGCCGTAGAGCTTTCACATTTCGATGACCCTGATCAACCCCCAATCCCTCGGCACATTCAGCAACTTCTGTCGAATAATCGAAGGTAGATAGAAAAAAGGCATCTGGACCATTGGACAGTCGCTGAGCATTGACGTGTGTTCCCGGGAGGCCTTTTATAAAGCCTCTCTAACTCTTGTGGAAGGTGATCTGCTTTCTTAATTCGTAGTCCAGAACCTTCTCTATGGTTCGGCGCACAATCGAATATATGGTGATTGGTCTCCAGGTAGAGATATTATTTATATCACCTTAGTCCTTAATGTGTCCATTGATGTTGACTTAATGGCTTCCCTGACAGCTTCTATCTCAATGGATAGCAAATTTGGCATCGGGGCACACTGTTTGTAATCCGCACGACCTCAGAGATTTTCGCTTTCAAAGAGGTCTTTTTTTGGCCATATTTGGAAGAAATAAAACATAATGATTTATTATGACCTCCTTTCAGACTTCTCTACACCTTCATATCAGCACTCTAAAACCATTTCCTCCAATTTCCTTGGCCATAGCCATTTTTATAGCTATATATTTTTTTTTTTTCATTGATATTTACAACTGTATTATAAAAAAATACAACTAGTAAATGTGCACACAGTAATAATACAATCACATGAAAAAGCTTGTTGAGAAACTACCCAGTGGTAGCACTCTAATAATATATTTACATAAGTAGATCACGAGGCCATCTTCTTTTCAGACGCCTCGGAGGGTATAGCTAATTTAATTATCTTTTAAATGGAATTGTCAAATTTTGTGTAAAATCAACTATCAGACATAAATACTACACTTTATGGGGAAAAGTCAAATAGAGAGTTTAATCGAAAGGATCACAATATCTAAACAACATTTTTTAGATTTAAAAATAAACATAAATTAGTGAAATATCTTATTTGAATTATACATTAATAATATGAAAATGAGGTTAAAAATTGTTGTAAAAGATGAGGAAATGATATTAGTTTATCACTATTGCAATCAAACTTTTAAATTTTAACTATATGTTACTTCCATAGTCCAACAAGACTGACTATATGCTCAACCCTCTATCGGCTAGTTTAAATGTACCTTGGGCAGGTTGAAATTTATTTGGTGGAGGACCCACAGAATAAATTCTGACCTCACTCTAGCTAGAAAATGTTAATAATCTGTAAGATAATCCCTTCTTCCTGCCCTAGTTGGAGTCCATAAGGATGTTGAGCCATAAAAAAAAAAAATCACACTGAGATTTGTTGTTTAGTATGCAAATAGATGTTAAGATAATGATAATTATGTTTTATAAATAAAAATCATAAGAAAAAGTAATCTCATGGAAGTTCTACTCTAAATATATATTACATAGATACTTAGGAATTAATAGTTGATTGTTTCTTACGTCTATTATCGTTATGCTTAAATTCACATTTTTTGACAAAATTTTGTGCCATTTCTTCAAGCTTCTTATCCCATTTCTGAAATTACATAAAATAAGGAATAAATATAATGCCTTTATAATAATTTTTATTTTCATAGAACTTCTAAGGAATGATAATTTTAGGCTAGTTCATGTAACATGTCATTCTGACCATCTAAATTATTTCAGTAATACAAATAAAAAAATAAACCAATATTAATCTTTTTTAGCAATCAAAAGAAAATCAATACTATTTTAACTTAAATATCAATAATATTGAAACTTAATGTTGGTATCTGTTGGAGTTTTAAATAAAATGAGAAACCAAAGTTATGTCTGAATACACTTTTATTTATTAACACTTTTTAATATATAACAATATTCAATAATATTGTCAAACATATGGTTTGCACCATGCAAAGCAACAATTCTGAACCACCCTATCACTGCTAACATGATAAACTTAAATGGCACCGATCATATGTTACTATATGATATAAATAAACTGGATTTATTTAATAATTACAACAATATCCTATACCAATTATATTTTGGTTACTATGTTCAAAATGTGTAAATTTTATGACAAACACATTTTATATTATTTTTACCTATGGTTTTTGAAAGTCTGAAATACATGCATAGATCCAATTCAATTTATTTTTTGTAACGGACTTAATATTTTTTCTTAAAAAGAATTAAATGTTTCACGAACTGTACTGATAAACAATTAATTAAATGATTATTCAAATTTACCAAGTATATTAAATTTTACATTCATACTATGTTTTTGATAGTAGTTTATATATCTTGAGGTCTTTACCGTTTACATTGAAATATAATATTTTTAAAAACACAGAGATTTAAGAAAAAATTACATAGTTTCTCATCTTTGATGAACTACATTATCAAACATTGAATTTATTACACTTTATATTCTGTTTATACTTATGATTAAATGAATTGTTTTAAAAATAATTATATAAAAGGAGAAAATCTTAAAATCATGAAACAAAAATTAAAAGGAGATGCTCTGACTTACAAGTTGCCACATGTTTTTAGCTGGATTTAGTATTGTCTTTCCAAGCGAAACATTATTTCTTACTTCATTATGATACTTAAGTGATGCCACGATTTCTTCACATGTAAAGGGATTGTTAACTGAAACAATTTAGGTGCTCATTAAAATGATATAAGTTGACCCATACAAAAAATTTGCATGGTATGTTGATCGGTTACAAAATGGGAAGAATATAATATATAAATAAGTAAATGTAGTCAATATCGGGAGGAGGGGGATGGAGGAAAATTGTTTTCTCTCAATTGATAATAATGGTCCGTTGATTTTTTCTCGATTGATAGGAAATTAAGAAATCTTTCGAAATATCATCTGTATAAACAAGCAGTTCTCAAACTTTATTTTATGGAAATTTTAATTTTATAATTGGTAAGTTTGTTAAAAAGTTGGAACTTTATATTATATGGCACAAAACTTCCTTATTAAAAAATCTTTCGCTACTCAATTATAGTGGTATTAATCTTCCCATTCAAATACTGTGTAATAAGTACATTAGTTTTTTAAAACAAAAACTGCTAATTATACGTAAAGGTAATTTATTTCCAGATTAAATTTTGTAAGATATTATGCAAAAGTAAATCCCAAAAATTTAACCCAACAGAGGTCAATATTGGAAGTTATTAATAATTAAATTATTTTAAAAAAATAAATATCCATGTGTTAGTAAAAAATTTATATTCACTTTTGCCTTTAGTAAAATTAATAAATACTGTTTTCATATAAATGAGCATATTAAATATTGAACTATGATACCAATGAAAACTCTCACATTAGATAGGGGGTTTCATGGCACAAGTTGAGCCATCAAAATTTTTGAGGGGACACATTTTGACAGGGTTATGAATTTTCGGATTGCAAAATTTCAAACCAGAGGACAAGAGAAAAGCATAATACAGACCATTGAAAGTGTAATTGTATATGACCTATGATCTTTAAAATTTTAGTTTAGCTTGAACTGTTTTTAAAAAGAGAAGAGAAATAAAATATCTGAGGAGATGGGGTGAGGGGGAGAGGGTCATATGCCAGCGACATTGGTGGGATGGGCAATCCTGCCTAATGCATTCGATGTATAGTAAGTGACATATATATATATATATATATATATATATATATATATATATATATATATATATATATATATAGGAAAATATCTCTCCACTTTAATAGGTAAGCCATAAGACACAAGTATCTCAGAAATTATATTATTACATTATTTTATTCGCTCAAAACCCAAAGGGGGTTTGGTGCAAAAGAGTTGAGGTTTGTAGTTTTCTCACTTAAGAGTATAGAAGTCTATAGCAAGTATATAGAAGTCTATTGCTGAGGGTATAAAATAGGTATACCTCAATATTTTTTTTATTTATTAAAAATATCAAAAAGTTTCTTCTATATTATCCAAAGTACCTTAAAGACCTCAGAACCATTCTCTGCTATCTACCTAGTCAATAGAGTTTTAGTTTGTCATAACTGAATACAATTATAACATAAAGCATTATCAAAAAAATTAAGTAAATAAAAATATATATTCTTCCATGTTCTATGTTTTATCTAGTAAATAAATTGTCATTCTATAGTAAAAGCATATCAATATGAATAATTAAATAAATTTACAAAGATAAAATTACCAATACAACAAAAAAATAAAACATAATATATGATTGAAGAAAAATATTTGCTACCACTTTACACCATGTGTAAGTACCATTGGTACCCTGTCACCATGATGGGTGGGCACAAGATCACACTGTAGATATTATTCAAAAATGGCTGAGTGTGACCAAAAGTAGACGAAGTGATCAAACAGAACAGGTAAATATGTTAACATTTTCAGAATTCTCTTTATCTTGTGTGATCGTGAGATCTTGTGCCTACCTATCAAAGTAGAGTAACACTTGTGAAGTAGTACCAAATATTGGTAATTTATCTTCAATTAAACTATCATGAAATTAAAAAAAAATCTTACTATGGAGCCCTATTAGGAAGTAGCAGACCACCTCACCAGGTATGCCCTTTCCCCAATGGAAGGAAGTTGATCAGTCCCTTCAGGTATGCAAAACTAACATAAAAGAAAAATCAATGGTCTCATTGGCTTCATACTACAGAAGTGGCGGAATACGATTCTTATATTAGTAACCTATTCTCATATGACAACTTAACAATGTAGTCTGATTTTCTCCATTAAATTCAAGTACTTTAATATTTTCCTTGAGCCATTGATTATTTAAAACGTTTTATAAATTAAACAATAAATCTGATCAATAAAAAACATGTTTTTGTTTAATTAAAAATATTAGTTTTTGCTTAATATAATGTAGTGATTATTTTAGCGTGTTAGTGATATTTGTTATAAATATAAATTTATTGCCAAAATTACTCCCCTTCTTAACAATAAACTATAAATTAAGAGGTGTATGGTAAAAAAAGAGAAAAAAATACTTTTGTAAGTATATCAATTTTTCAGTTTTGTTTTTTTATTGTAATATGCATTTTGGCTAGATGTTATGTTAATTTTTATGTTCAATATTGTTATTCTTAAGAGACTTTGTCCCAGAATAAAGTTGATTCTTCTATTCTATTCTATAAATATAAATCAGGAAAAACTAACTTATCTATAATATATATATGTATATTATAAAAACAATAATTAATATCTTCTGGCGTGGGGGGCTGGATGAAACTTTTGTGGTTTACTTTTGTATGCTATATTTATTAAAATTTTACTATTAAACCCCTATGGAATCGCATAAATGCTGACTATGATATGCTTTGAAGTACAAATAACAATTTTTGAAGTCACTAAAAAAATTGTCCAATTTTCGTAACTTCGCAAGTTTTCCCTTGCTCGTCCCACAGTGCGCTAGTTAAAATTAGTAAACGGATAAACACAGGGCACCAAAATACAAACGGATAAACCTGGTTATGAGTAATATCCAAGTATCCCGTGTTTGAATGAACTTTACAGACGTACATAGTACGCCGAGAAATCTATTCAACATAGTTCATTATTAACCACCATTCCGTAACAGGTAAAATATGTTACATCGCACATAACTTTTTAAAATTCAACAATATTCAAACACTCACTAAGAATTTCGCAGGTTTCAATTGAGACCAAGATTGTAACGACAAGAGGAAAATATCGATTCATTTCTGATGATAATTTTGAACCTTCTTCATTTAAAATTTTCCACCGTTTAATTTACCCTTCCAAATATCAATAAAGAATTTTATTAACGCTAAGATTATATAACTTTCCATAGACGGGGAAAGATAACCATGTGTTAATTTAGCCTTATACAGATGAAAAAAAATATATAAACTACTTCTAATGCCCTATGTAAGCTACATGTTGAGCTTGTTTCATATCACTTATAAATATCTACAGGAGGAAATACATTTTATTAATTCAACAAAAACTGAAATTTATTTCGAAAACAAAAGGATTAAAAAAAACTGACGACACAGAGACACTTTGGTCGGATGGCTTTATGTTAACAATTTATTTTTGCAAACACAATATATTTTAAACATTTCAAGACAACTTCAGCGCAAACGATATTTTTAGTTCATTCTTCCCGTGGTATATGTCGAGGCAGGGTAAAACTCCTATTGATTATATTGAAGAATACTAAGCGTTGGAAATGGTCAAAAGCCGAAACGGCGAAAAGCGCTCATTTGAAGCGGGGATCCCTTCTGTGTACGCGTATTCTAGCATCTCTCACCAATAGCGGATCCAGGATTTAATTTTGGGGGGAGGGAGCTCCAGCCCGGAAGCTTTTTTCCCCATATATATATAACGATAATCACTTTGGAAAACAGATAGATACTCAGAACCTGTCACTAACGGGTCCAGGACTTAATTTAGGGGGGAACTTCAGCCCGAAAGATTTTACTTCGTAGGAAAGAAAGAAACTAACTACCTATACGAAATGGTGTTTAAATGATTCTTTAAGTCCTATTAAATGTAATCAGACGAACAATAATACTTTTAGAGATAAGTTTTTTCTTTACACATTGTTATATTTTACCATTTTGGAAGGGCTCCAGCCCGAAAGCTCTCCCCCCCTCCCCGTAGATCCGCCTGTGCTATCTATATGGAATGGTGTTTAAGTGATACTTGAAGTCCTATTAAATGTAATTAAACGAGCAATAATACTTTAAGACATAATTTTTAAATATTTTACCTTAAAACAATCCGCCTGTGTCTCTCACTATTTATTTACTTTTGAAAAAATCGATGAAGATTAAAAACCCGAAAGGCGTAGCCCAGGAAGGACATAATCTTGCGTTTATGGCAAGAAACACACATAATCCGTGGTACAGATACCTTTTAATCAAATTATTAACATCCGGCTGAAACTTCGTAAATAGCTTTATCTCATCTAACCAACAAATATTTTATTTACGAAAATTCTCGGAATTCGGAGGTCCACAAACTTTGTCTATTTAATTAGGCACTATAAATTCGTTAATACCCATTTACTTTATACTTTAATCATAAGATAACTTGAGCACAAAGACGAGAAAAAAGGCAACCTTCAAAAATATTGAGCCGTTTGCCGTGACCTACACCCCCAAATTTTCATAATAAAGAGTTTATATAGGTCAAACAGCTGAAATATTTGAAGGCCACCTTTTTCCCCCGACTTTGTGCTCAAGTTATCTTATGATTAAAGTGGAAAGCAAAATTGTATTTATGGGTTTCTAGTACCTAATTAAATAGACAATATTTGCCGACCTTCAGATTGAAAACGCCCTAATTCCGAGAATTTTCATAAATAAAATGTTTGTAGGTTACTACGATATGAAGCTATTTATGAAGTTTCGGCCGGATGTTAAGAATTTGATAAAAAAGGGTCTGTACCACGGACTAACATTCCTGCTCAAATATTATGGGGGATCTTTCATTCTGAAGCCTGCCAGATTTAATGTATTAGGGTTTTAAAAATTGGGTAAAGGGTGCCGAAAAGTGGCGCCTACGATTAAATTTTTTCGTTTTACTATAAATATATAAATGAAAGACAATGTTTCTCGTATATATTTCGAAATTATACTGACATACATAACTGAAATTGTTGAACCA